CTGTGAAGGATGTGGTTGAATAACATAACCTTCTGTTTGAATGCTCCAGGGCACCTGCCAGTGAAACTCCCAGACTACAATAACCGCCTGAGGGTCCTGGTGGCCACATATGTCACCTTCAGTCCAGATGGCACTGAGCTACTCGTAAACATGGGTGGGGAACAGGTAATGCTTCGCTGAACGAACAATGAACGGCGAGAGGAATTATTCATTTCTTATTCAGCATTTAAATATTCCCTTTTTTATGTTCTTTTTTAGGTGTATCTGTTTGATTTGACATTTAAACAGAGGCCATACACCTTCTTGCTTCCAAAAAAGTGCCAATCATCAACAGGTAGGTCTGTTCCATCTAAATTAACAAAAGATCTTGAATGGTGCCTCAGAGAGGTAATAAAGTACCGTATCTATAGATGTAGTTTTGGTTTCTGAAACTTTGTTTTTCCAGGAGATGTACAGAACGGAAAGACAACCAATGGCGTCTCCAATGGAATTCACTTGCCAAGCAGCCATATTCGACTGGCCGGAAGCAAGATATGTTCTAGGTAATTGCCTTGTCACTCTGTCAGTGGTTGGATTTTGAGCATGCACACACTTGAGTTCTTCTGCTCTCTTCGTTTTAGTTCTACTGAGCTTCCTCTTCACTTGGAGAAGATAAAGCAACAAGCTAATGATGCATTTGCACGGCAGCAGTGGACGCAGGCCATCCAGCTGTACAGTTTAGGCATTCATCAGGCCAGCTGCAACGCCATGCTGTATGGGAACCGGGCTGCAGCCTACATGAAACGCAAGTGGTATGTATCATTGCATCACTGCAGGGGGACGTCATCATCTACTCCCTGAGGCTATTAAAGCAGTTGTCAAGTATTTGTTTACATATGTGATTGACAGGGATGGAGACCATTACGATGCCCTCAGGGACTGTCTGAAGGCTCTGAATCTAAACCCCAGTCATCTGAAGGCTCATTTCAGGCTGGCACGGTGTCTGTTTGAGCTCAAGTATGTGGCTGAAGCTCTGGAGTGTCTGGATGATTTTAAAGGAAAGTTCCCAGAGCAGGCGCACAGCAGTGCCTGTGATGCCTTGGATAAAGACATCAAGGCTGCTCTCTTCTCCAAGACAGAATCAGGTAGAAAAGAATGAATTGGTACTTTGTTGATTTGTAGTAGCTCTCATTTGTTTGTACACAGTTGGATCATGGAATGAACATGAAAGCCATGCTGCCACTGGATTATTCTGGTTGTTTTTAGGTTTAGAAACTGGTACTGTAAGTAAACAACAGTAGCATATGTGTGTAATCTATGTGTATATATACTGGTTTTGCATGTCAAGAGAACAGTCAATCTTTGTTTATTTGTCAATTATCCGAATTTTTTCCCCTCAAACAGCAGAAGATAAGAAGGCTAACAGCTCCATTCGATTCCACTCATTCAGTCGGAAGGAGTCCATCCCTGAAGACGAGCTGGTGCTGAGAGAGCGCAGCTTCGACTACAAGCACAGATACTGTGGTCACTGCAACACCACCACTGATATCAAAGAGGCCAACTTCTTTGGAAGGTTAGTAGATCTCACGCCCAGTCTCCTGAGGCCTCACTAGAGGGCAGTCATGAGCCTAGTTAATTAGTTTAAGACACAGTACATCTATAGTGGGGAATATGTAGAGCAAAGCAAAGTCGCTTTCATTCATAAATGTAGACTTGTAGGTACTATATCTACAAGGTTTTATGATTTGACAAAAGTAAAACATTTCTTATAAAATAAGACCTTACGTTTGAATACAGGCAAATATTTTATAAAATGTGCATATTGTATACCAATTCAGAAGGGGATCGTTAAAAATATTGTTTGTAGTTTTGATTTGTTGTTCAAACATCAACCTTCTTGTGTAATGTAGGCAATGTTGTATTATGTGTAAAAAAAACAACAACCTTAAGTTACTTAACAAAATATATTTTTTTGTCATATCGATCCCTCTCCTCACCATGATTTCCCATCACCATATATACGGTCATTAAGTCAGAATAACTCGAAGCATTTGAATATAATGCACTACACATAAAGAAGCTCAGTTCGCATTGAACCTTTTATACCTGAGCTACCTCCCACACCAGAAAGCCCTGATTACTAGCCTGTACGGCGAAGTGTTCCGCAAAGAAAGTTCAGTGTAAAACGGTTGCACAACTTTTTGATTCCTAGTAAATCTGACATGTCCCAAGAACATGGCTTGTCAGGCAGGTCTGAACGGTTTCCTTCCCCCCCCGCAGCAAAGGCCAGTACATTGTCAGCGGCTCAGACGATGGCTCCTTCTTTATCTGGGAGAAGGAGACGACTAATCTGGTGAGAATCCTGCAGGGGGACGAGTCCATAGTCAACTGCCTGCAGCCCCACCCCAGCTACTGCTTCCTGGCTACCAGTGGTATTGACCCCGTGGTTCGATTATGGAACCCTAGACCAGAGGTAAACGACTGAAACTTAAGTGTATTTATATATTTCTGAAAAACGTTGGGGCACAGTGCCAATGTTCCAGATCATACTGATTGTGGGAGATAATTGTATTGATTCATCATATGGGAACAGTACAGTATTGCCACTCAAAATGTCTTATCAGTTCATTTAATGTATTTACCTGTGACTGATGACCACCTGATAAATACCTGGTAAACATGAAATGATAATATTTCAGGATTGCACAAATGAATGATGCACATCTTCCACCAATAAACAATCGGACCGGGCATGCTGAGCTCCTCTAAGGCCGTATCTGGTCTTAATGCGGAGGCTACAGTTTAAGAAAACAGTTGCACACAATTCAGTGAAAATGAAAAACATTTAAACATCCTTTACAGCTGATTTAATATCCCTTTCTAACCCATTCTCCTTCCCTGCACTTTCTCATAATACAGACGGAGTGTGAGAACGGGCGAGTGGTGGAGGACATGGACGGTGCTGCTCAGGCGAACCAGCGGCGTATGAACGCTGATCCGCTGGAGGTAATGCTGCTCAACATGGGTTATCGCATCACAGGCCTGCGCGGCGTTGGCCCAGACGGCTCGGATGACGAAGACAGCTCAGAGGGACAAGTGCAGTGTCGGCCGAGCTAAACAAACTGTAGGCCATTCTTTAGAATGGATGTAGGAAGCAAAGCACTCTGCCAGCTCCTGTTTGAATCTTAATTTCCCCCCTCCTATCTGACAGAAACACTGAGTGAATGTCATGTCACATCTCTGCACTATGCATCGCCCTCCCCTGTCCAAAGAGAGGACTGGTGGAGACCACTTTGAGGAGAGGAATTCATGGAGGGTGGAGAAAGACACCCATCTCGCCCCCTTCAAAGCACCAACAACACCTCAACCTCTCCCTCCACCTTGTGGTGGCAGGGGGACACCTTTGAAGAGAGCACCTTCCACGTCACTCCCCAGTTTCTCATGAAGAAGGAGGAGTTCAGCACTTATCCCTCCTCAGGTTTATGTTGGAGAAACACACGTACAAGGAGAATCCTGCGGTCGGGTGACCTATTTTCAGGTCAGCGTGGCGACACAGTTGCAGTGTCCTCCGTGGAGGATCGGATCACAGACCAGAAGACGGTGCTTTGTTGCATCTCCTGTCTGCTCTACAGTTGGAGCTAAGAGTCTTAGTGCCCGCTCATCTCAGAAAGGCTGCACACCCAAGTCATTGATTCTGAGTTAGACTTGATCATATTTTGAGTTTTGGTGACAGGAAGCCTAGAATTAATTGTCACTTGCCAAGTTGTGAAAGTTGCAAGTGTTGCTCCAATGAAATGTATTTATGAGCTTTGTTTAGTTTCTGACTGTCGGAAGTGGTTTCTTCTGCCAAAGGTTGCCATCTATCATTTCAATGGCCAAGGATTAATGTTAGTTTTCTCTGTTTCATTGAAACATAATTATGGCATACTGTGCTCCTTTTAGTTAAGAGGTTTTACTACAATAGTTTGTTGACAAGGTCAACAAGATATCGACAGAACTACAACTTTCTAATACAGATTTTTTTTTTCATTTTAAATCAAGTTCCATTGATTGCAAATGTTGTTTGGCATGAAATGTTAGTGTGAAACTTCTGTTGAGTGTAAGTGGGACACAGATGCTTAATTTATGGTATACGGCAACTGAAGTATTTGGTGGCGATGGGGTTCCTGTCTACTAGCTGTGTGGCTCTAGCACCTGCTGCAATCGGGTGTTCAGTCCTGCTTGCACGAGGCTTCTCTGACCGTAGTTGTGGGCAAACAAGGACAAAGAGCCATCCCGTCTGTTGCTCAGAGAACAGCTCATTGGGCCTTCTTTGCCTCCAAATAGGGTAACTGTTAAGGGATGGATCCTCAACAACATGCAACACTAGGCTTCCATGTGTTTTACTTTGTTCATTAATTTGTGATACTCTGTTTTTCTTTGAAGAATCCTATAATAACCTTTGTTGCAAACAAAGTGAATAATAAAATTATTGAACACGTTCTTGTCTGTATTGCTTTTGTTCTTTAAATGGTACCATTAATGATGAATTGTTTGTACTTTTTAGTGTTACACACTTAAGTTACACAACAGATACAGCATTACTCACAGACTAACTAGGCTGTGAAGACGTGGGCTGTAGGTGAGGCTTCGGTATGAACTCTCTGATATCCTGCCCATTCATCAGTGTCTGCTTTACTCCCTGCTTTTGCTGACTATTAAGCAACAAATATGAGCCCAAGCATGAGTAGTTGGGGGGGAGCGTCTCATGCCCCATATACTGTACAGTAATGAGGTGACCCAGCTTTAGGAGTAGTGCAGGTTACAGTGATAAAGCTCCCGGCTGACGGAGACTGTGAGTTCTGGTGCCAAATAGGGCTGAAACGACACAGAGGCTGCAAGGCTGAAAAAATTATACCAAATTATAATTAAAACACATTAGACATAATAACTTTGTTAAAATAATAATTAATACTGTTGTTTTAGTATAAACATTATTGGGTAGACTCCTACAGTAGGTCTCGAAACACAAATGACCGGTGTTGCGTTCACTGACCGGTGTTGCGTTCACTGACGACGACGCGCTTCCGCTTCCGCGCCGCCGCCTCGCGCTGTCCGTGCGTCACCCTGTCACTCGAGGCAGTGATGGCGGAGGCGGACGAGACCGACGTGATGATGAATTACCACGGTGACTTCTTAAAAGGCGACAGAAAGAACGGCCGCTACCCTTACTGCGTTGTCTGGACGCCTATTCCTATTTTATCGTAAGAAACTAACGAGTTGTTTTCTTGGTCTCGCTGCCAGCGTAGCGCTCAGGCACATTTGTGTTAGCTAGCCGAGTCTCATGCTATGTATTGCCTTTAAATAAATGGCTGCACTAAATGTACTGCATTAAATGTACTGCATTAAATGTACTGCATAGTGTGTGTTCACAGTGAAACGTAAGTTCAATCAATGTATTGTTGTCCTCTGGTGCATCCTGCAGGTGGGTGCTCCCCTTCATTGGTCACATGGGTATATGCACCTCTTCTGGGATCATACGAGATTTTGCAGGCTCATACTTTGTCTCGGTGAGTGTTGCTGTTTTTATTTATTTATCCACGTATTTACCAGCTACAATAGGCGGTTTCACCTCATGTGTAATGGCTCAGAAGAGATAGGAATGAAAAAGTAAACCTTTAATCTGAGATGTCTTACAGGAGGGTAAAGCTGCTGAATTGATGAAGATTTATTGCATCTGCTGTTCTGTCAATAATGTCAACCATGAGTTCACTTGATGCACTAAATGATTTAAAATTTGACTTTTTTTTTTTTATCCAGGAGGACAACATGGGCTTTGGTAGACCAACAAAGTAAGTTTATTGATCAAAACATTGTATGTTATTGAAATGAACATATTGATTGACTGATCACAAATATCCTAGGTATTGGAAGCTTGATGTGGACAAAGTGTGTGGCAGTGGTGCTGCTACATGGGACAAAGCGGTGCACGATGCATCTGAGGAATACAAATGTAGACCGGTAAGACAATATATAGGAGTTTTAATACACATATTTCCACTTCATTATTTAGATAGTAGTCAGAAACTCATTTTCCTGTTTTGTTCAAGCACAATTTGTGCTTAGATAACTGCCATTCCCACGTGGCCATGGCCCTCAACCTAATGCGCTACGACAATAGCACGTCTTGGAACATGGTGAACCTGTGTGGGCTGTCTCTTATTCACGGAAAACATGTGAGGTAAGTGTTTTAGCCTCGTTCTGTCATTAGAGTTACCATAAAGGACAGTTCACATGTAGAACCACATGAACATCTGCTGGGTATATTGTGCAGTAATATTTCAGCACCGTATCGTTTTATCCAAAATAAAATAAAGAATTAGTTCACATTTAACCGATTTAGCTCCTGTGACATAACAATTACATGCCATGTCATTTCGCTGATGTTTTTGGGGTTGAGTGTCTTGGTCAAGCTTGTACATGTGGACAGATGCAGCCTGGGACTGAACCACCAACACTAATGGTTTATCCACTCTTCCATCTGAGTTGCAGCTGTATACATGCTCACTATCAAAACCTCCTGGCAGTGCATCAGCAGAGCATTCAGCACTTTGCTGTTTGTAAACAGCAAACACGTCTATATAAAACTGTCTTTCTGCTTTTTGTCTGTGCTGTTGGGTTTGGTTAGTCAAATCAATTTGATTTTCTTTATATATCCCAAAGTTACAAATCACAAATTTGCCTCAGACTGCTTTACAATCTGTAAAACATAAACCTTCTGCAACAACAGATACCGTCTATTCTTAGACCCCCAATTAGGATCTGGAAAAACAAAAAAAAAACTGTAATAGGAAATGGGGAAAAAAGATAGCAACATCAGGAAGAGCGACACAGTTGGACTTCCTCTTCCAGGACAGACAGACATGCAGTAGCTGTGGTATATGCAGAGAAGACAGAAGACGTAGTAGAGGGGAAATATGGTTGCTAACAATACTGCACCAAACACACCTGAAGCATCTTCATCACAAACGTATGATTCAATTGCTCTGCTGCTGGACGCTTGTGAGCATTAAGAGACATATGGCTCAGAGAACCCCCCTCATTATTCTCCGCTGACCCACATAAAGAGCATTGGCGTCACAGTTTGTGCTGCCTCTGCACATACACTCCCACAGCACAGGAGTCTTTTAAACAGAAGGGGAGTCGTGTAATTCATCACTGACAGCGACGCTCCCCCTCTGTGTCACTACTGAAGGTCACCTCTCCGGTGGGGCTCCCTGGGTGGAAAGGACAGTAGGACGCAGGCTGGGGTGCATTTGTGGAGGGGGGGCTGTGGGCTTCTGGGAGCGAAGAGATTGTACCGTGTGATACTTCGACACACCTCACATGTCCTTGTCTGTCCGAAAATGTACAAGAGAGGGTGTTCTACCCTCTCTGCCACACTCACCATATCCAGGTGTTGTTCTAACATTACCCTCTCTGTATCCTTCAGCTGGGCAGCGTTCCTGAAGACCTGGCTCCCCTTCTTCATGCTCTGCGGAGTCCTCGGCACGTTCATCCTAACATTCAACCTACATTAGTGCAGCGAGCAGTTCAACGGGCTGACTCATAGACTTTGGTTATACTTTGTACATTGTCGTTGGCTGTTGAATGATGTGTTTTGACGGGACATTTGTTTGTACAAGAAAAAATTCCAAATGAAAGACTCCATTGCCTGTTAGTCTCTCTGAAGGTATTTCAAGGCAAAGCCCAGCTGTTTGTGGGCAGCTTTGAAATCAATAATTAATGTTTCAACACATTGGTTTTGTTTATTTTTTTCTCTACTAATTATTTACGATTAAGTGAGGCACATAAGCTACAGTATCTCTCAAAACTGACCAGAACTGTTCTTCACATGGTGGGTCGTTAAGAGCATTATGAAGGAAGATGATCCTTTCCAGATTACACCACAGTAGAGCACTACCGTCGAGTCCAGAGATGCATTGTTCAAGAGTGGCAGTGATGAATGTGTTTCCAGACGGGCTAATGTACATTTCTGTGATGGATCACTACAAAATGGATCGCAAAGTCTTAACCGAGGCGAAAGTATTCATCAATTATTTGTCTAAGAGATATGAGCCCCTACCAAAGATAGAATGATGTAGGACCCACGTGATAAATAGTGGTACTGTGCTGTAAAAAAGCCTTCCTCCTTCCCTACAATCCTCTTTCCTCTGGTGTATAAAGACAAATTACGTGTTTACTTTAACATGAGTGTATTATTTGTTTTTCTCCAGACAGAATTTGAACAATTTCTAACCGCGCATCCTCATGCTGGAATGTCACTATAACTCTGCCGAATGATACACATCTTCAGCAATATTACCTTATATTACATCATGTATCATATATTTTATCTATTTATTTATTTATTTGATGTTTTTGACGCTATGTACCCAAAAGTAAGTATTATTTGTAATTCTGTATCTCCATCAGTGTAATATTTGTGTTTCTGTTATTTATTTTTGGATATGCTGTGTACAGAGCCTTTTTAAGTCTCCCCTGGCAGACTGTGGTGGAGGTCACAGGCTGTGGATGCCCTAATCGTCCTCTGTACCTTTAAGGGAACCACGTACCTTTTTCATCCAGCAGATTCTGCGTGATATGAACTCCCATCAATTTACGGGATTCTTTATTCCCTGAGTGGAGTAGATTCAGAGGGGCTGAAGCTCGAGCGCTCGTTGCTGCCTCTGCAGCATTTGTATTCAGAATTTTGTTTATTAATTCACATGGAATTAAGTTTTTCTCTGCTGTAATTCATACTTGTGTGTTTTTTTTGGTTTTTAATGTTTTTTTTTTAATTGGCTATACTTTAGAAATGTGTGTTTTTGCAGTCAGAGTGTTTTTGGGAATCCTTCTCTGTGCACCATACCAGTGCTTGGAGTGTCCTTTTGGCTGTGAGTGTTTTGCTGTCACTCGCACAGTAAAATGTGTTTCAGAGGATCTGCTCACGGTGCCACAAAGTATTCCAGGATATGCAAGGACTGTCATCATTACAGGGAATAATATACACCAGATTGGACCCGATTCGTTTGCAGAGCTGGAGAATGTCACCAACATCATTTTAAGCAATAATAGGTGAGAGTGTCAGTGTTTGTTTTTGTTGCATTCATTGTTTCAGCATATTAAGCCATATTGGGGTGATGTTTCTTGATGTGTATCTAATAAATACATTTTCTCTGTATGTGGTTTTCATGTGTTTACTTTGATAGTGCAGTGAGATGCATGTAATTGTATCCAAGCATGAAAATAATATTAAAGGTCTAAGAACAGACGTTACAGTGTTAGTCATCTCCACAGGATTACAGAGTTGGCTTCCCACAGCTTTTCTGCTCTCACCAACCTGCGCTTCCTGGACCTCAGTGGGAACCGACTAGCACTCATCCATCCAGAAGCTCTCAGCATACCTGGCGGTCCCCTTCAGGAGCTGAACCTGAGCCGTTCGCTGTACAACTCCTCCGCCCTGACAGACCTCACCACGGCTCTGCGCTGGGGTGGACTCAGAGGTCTGCTCCGTCTCGACCTATCTGGGAACCACCTTGGCTTCCTGCCCCCAGGCATGTTCTCCCACCTTCCCAACCTGCAGCAGCTCTTCCTCATTAACAACTCTCTGGTGGAGGTCTACAGTGGCACTTTCTCTGGCATGAACCACCTGCAGGTGCTGGACCTAACACACAATGCCTTCAGGACATTCAGTGCTGATGCTCTACAAGAGCTAGGGAAGCTTGGGAACATCCGAATCCTTCTCGGTGAAAACCCCTACACCTGCTCCTGTGAGATCCGCAGTTTTGTGGCCTGGCTGAATGGATCAAGAGCTTGGATAGACGTGGACGCTGTAAGGTGTGACTCACCGGGAGGGTTAAGTGACACCCGGCTGCGGGGGCTCGGTGTCCAGGCCATTGGATGTGTTGTTCCAGTCCAAGCAGAGGTGGCTGACCTCACCCTGCAGACATCCTATGTCTTCCTGGGGCTGGTGCTCGGGTTTGTGGGCATGATATTTCTCTTTGTACTCTACCTGAATCGCAACGGAATGAAGAAGTGGATCATTGAAATGAGAGATGCATGTCGGGACGTTCTGGAGGGATATCACTACCGATATGAGATTGACTCAGACCCTCGGCTGGGGCACATCTCAGCAGGTAACCGTGGCAGTAGGGCACAAGGGCATTTAGGATTATCTCTGTCACAGCAGCTGCCAACTGACACCTGTATTATCCAGGTTCCTACTGACACACGGGTCAAACAGGTGACAACCTCTCCACTTTTGAACCTATGATGTTGTAATGAAGCTAGAATAATGTGACAACATATGAAAAGGATGTAGTTGTAAGTAGTTGTAGTTGCTCCCTGTACATACTGCAGTTGTAACTTATCTCACCTTAAAAGTGCCTTTCTGTTTCCGAGGCACTGGAGCATTGTATCTGTAAATGGACCTTAATATTGTGTCTTTATCGTAAAGTTTATTAAAAATGTATAATAGGTAGGCTACACTGAAATCATCCACATCTCGATTTGTGCCATCTGTGGTTTCTTTGCTTTTTGGTATTACTGTCATGACTTTAAATATATTAACATTCTGCAGCAGACTGCCAGGAAGATAAACGACATAGATGGCATGGAAAGTGCTGACCTAACAAACTGTAATCCACAGACACACAGTGAATTTTATAATAGGACTTTATAAGATTATGTATGCTTAACTAAAATGAAAACAATACATTTTAATTAACCGTGTGTCTTTATTGTGCTAGAATTCATAGTGTGATCTACCTGTGCTATTAGAAGGAATAGATATTAAAGCTCCTGTATGATATGAAATGTGTATTTACATTCGTCATAAATAAAATAACATTTTGATGTATTTAATACCCCTGTGCTCATGTTTTATTGTGGCTGCGGTGAAACAAGACACCACACTACACACACTACATAGTTTGACCCTACTATTTCAGTTCTAAGAGTGGGTGATTAAGTGTTTCCACGGAGGGAAAAATAGGGCAGAATGAAAGATATGGTTTGGAAAACACCTGCTGGGTCTGCAGCTGTGCGCCTGTCCGACCCACATTGTACGTGTGTGATTACAGCATGTGTGTGTACATATTTAAAAGTCCACTTGTACGAATGTAAAGTGCAGAATTTCACCATAAGTTATGTTGCATCACCATCACCAAATACCAATGTCAGTCAGGCTATGGAAAAGGTTTCATGTTTCACTTTTAATATCGGCTTTTCTTCCATTTTCTTCTTCTTCTTCTTCTGACCTGTATGTATTCGTTTTTCTTTCCTGGTCCTCTTTTCTTTTCTTTTTTTGGTCTTTTACCCTCTTTCCTTCTCTTCTTGTTTTATATCCGCCTCGCGTGACGTCACGACTCACCTGTGGGTGGGTGTAGGATCTGGGATTAGCAGTAGCCGCAGGTAATAGCCAAACATTGGGAGACTCTCGGCTACACAAGACTGAATTTTACAAAAAAAAGAGAAGACGACACGAATGAGCCTAGTTGTGTTGTTCGGCCGAGACACCGGACCGGACTGGGTTTGCAAAAGTTCTGTTGTTTCGTGGAAGTAAAGTCACCTGGAAATCTGAAATCGAAGTCTTTCTCTCTGTCTGAAGCGCTAGCTGAAGTTTTCCTCCCAGACTTCCGCGGTTCGCTCGCTGAACAAGTTATCTGGGATAAAAGACAACCACAAGTGTTTCCTCATATGCGGTAAGTGAACGTTTTGTGAGTCAAATTAAAAACGTTAAAATGTTGAATAGGGTTTTGGTCTCAACTGTTTTGCTGCCCATTTACTGAATGCCAAACAAGCTTTAAGGGCGCGACGAAATGGGCCAAATTATTATCAGGCCAGCAATCAATGCACTCAGTGTTATTTACATTCTCAGAGTTTAAGGAGAGGTTTCTCAACTGGAAGCTAAGTGCTTACTATACTGAGTCTTAAATGTTATTTGAATGTGTCATGATGCGTTTAATGCTAGCAAGCCCGTGTGACAACAGAAGGGGAGGTTTTACACCTGGTTATTATGTCTAAACATGCCTCTCCCACACCAGGTCCCAGGCATTTTGAGCCATGCCTGGCCACAGCACAGGGGCTCCCCAGGTGTCCCGCCACCAAAAACACTCCAGCTCCAGAGCAGATAAGTACCGACAGACTCGGACTATATCCAAGGAGAGCACGGCCAGCCAGGACTCCTACAAGGATCCCCACGGGGAGCATCACACTGACCACTCCCGGTATCCGGAGAACAAGTATGGTCGCAGCAGAGGCCATCCAAGAAATGGCACGGCACGAGGCTCAGAGACTATAGGATTTATTCCTGGGTCAGCAGACAGCACGCCCGCCAGCAGACATGCCTGTGGCTCCTGTGCGTCCATGGGCTGGAGTGGCTGCAAGGCTCTTATCTGCTGTGTACTGACCTGTGGATTTTATGGCAGCAGAGAGCCCTGCCTGCCTGTCAATGAGAGCTCGACAGACCATCCCCCTAAAGCGAGTAACGAGCCTCACCCTGCTATTGGCCTGGCGCTGAACAACCCCACTTGTGGCATCCCTTTGGAGTCTAGCAAGTCTACCAGACCCTCTAAGCTGCCCACGAGTGACAGCTTCCGCTACCAGGATGTGCGCATCGCAGGTCAGACAGTAAGGTATCCAGTCGCTGCCCCCAAACGGACCCGTACGCCTGGCAAGGGGGAGAGCCAGCGGCCTGTCAGCAACACAAGCCTGTTATCCCGTGAGGACTATGACTTGGATGACCTGAGCGACACAGGCACAGACATTGACTCGCTCATCACCAAGAAGCTGCTGGAGCTTTACGCCCTGCACCAGATCGACCAGCTGGCCAAGTGCACCTCCGACTCCTCGTTCTCCCGCAAGACCAATGAGATCAGCGAGCTCATCTACAGCATCGCTCAGGACTACAACCTGGAGGAGCAGGAGGCCGAGTGTAAGCTGGTGCACGGGGTCATCCGCATCAGCACCAGGAAGGGCAAGAGGAACAAGAGCCATCCATCGACAGGACAGCAGCGTCCGAACGGGAGGAGTGACGGGACTCTTCCTGACAGCGGCAACGAGACCATGACCAACACTTTCATGAGCAGTGACTGTAAGAATACCATGCAACATTCTTTTAGAGCAGTTATCATTAATATAATCAGTTATCATTGTATAAATATTTATATGATACCACTTTTTTTTTAATCACCTGGCTGCAGCATGCCAAATAGCCTATAGCCCTACCAATAATCCCATAATGACTCATAGTCTATATTGTTTGGCACATAGTTTGAAGCCCTAATACAACAGGCATTTTTCAGGCCTAATAATAATTGGTTAACCTGGGGCAAGTTGATACAGGCGCGCATTGTCTCCTAAAACACATTTCACAATAGCAGAAATTGCTTGCGCTCATTCTGACTTTTTTTGTCCCCCTGCCACAGTTCCAGAGGTCAAAGTGTCAGAGCAGACGCCATCCGACGAGCTGGCGAGGAAAATGAGACATTACAGCGGGAGAAGTGAGTACATGTTGGAGAATTTTTCCATAACGGGGCGCAGAGGCACGTTCAAGTAGGCTATGTCTTCCTTTGGGTCAGTGTAAATGCATGCGGGAGGGCAATTACAACCAGACTCAGTCATCATCATCATCATAATGATTGAGCTACAGTCTTTTATTCATTGAGGTATAATTACTACATCAGTGTGTGAGGCTCAGTCTCTGCTATCCATTGTACCTGCTGCAGCTGCAGGCCTTTTCTCACCTCCTCTCTACTTCCCGGTAACTTACCACTCTTTAAACGGTGAAAGCCCCGCATTCCTGTCCCTTTTCTCTGCATACTGCAATCCCTCGCTCATTAGCTGCCTCCTCCCCTCATCTGCCACCTTACACCCACCTATCAATCTGCCTCATCCCCCCCCTCCAGCTCAGCGGTCACGCTACAGCACCTGCAAGAGCTGCAGATCAAGTCACATTAAATATATGCCACATAGGCCTAATGTCAGGTGTTTTGTTATGTCATTTTGGCGAACAACTTGGGTTACAAATGGATTACCGCGCAGCAGTCCCTCTCTTTTTGTTGTTGTTGTTGTTCTGAGAAGAGGATGTTAGAAGGACGGGGTGTCCTGTTACATGTCTTTTGAATGAGGGTTCACCACATTGTGTTTCCACAACTTTCACACAGCGGCCTGGGAATGTGTCGGCGTCCCGGGGTTAAACTCAACTGTTCATGTCTCAAGTGCATGAAATATAACATCTGTGTTGTTATTACACTGTATTAGCTTTTTTCCCCCCCCATTGCATTAAAGAAAGCTCTTTCTCCCTCAGCGTACTCCTCCAGCACCGCCACAGCTTACTCGGCCTATCATCATGACACCGAAACAAACTCTTCAGGCGCTCCCCTGCTTCTCTGAAGGGCAACGCAGAAGCAAAAGTATCTATACTGACAAAGTAATGTAGTCAACTAGATGGACCGTGTTATCCTTCTGCTATCAGTTTTTTGTTTTTTGTTTTTTGCTGTTACTGACTGGAGCACCTTTTACCCTGGGCGGTTGTAATTCTCTTTTTTTTTTAGTGGTCCAGCTAATGTTTGCTATTAGAGTGTCATGTAAATGTATGGACCTTTATCTTTCCAGCAAATGACCCACTGAGGAAACTTTTTTTTCTTCCACAAGGAAAGATTTTAATGTATTTTGTACGCAGTGTTTAAAGTTGTTTTCAGAAAAAGCAACATGACTACACTCCTTGCAATCTTAGCAGTTGGGCCAGAGGATAGAGACTGATGGTAGAACAAAACCGTCCTCATTCTTGTCTGTGTGGTTGTTTATGCAAGCCATTGTGCATGCACTGTGTGGGTTTATTGACTCCTGCCATTTAGATTCTTTAAAAGCATGTTTTGTCCTGAAAGCTGCATTGTTAAGCCATATTTTGATGTGTATATATTTTTAAGTTGATGTTACTTACTGGGTTGTTAAACCATTTGTGGTCACAGTTTTTTATTCACAGATAAGTCCTGTTTTTAACAAAAATAAAAATCTCCATGCTTGTTTATGCTTTTTCATGTGTTTTTAATGAGGAAATTATCCATATATGTATTTTCTCATTTCAGCTTGCAGGATATTTGACATACAGCTCCATGCTTGCAGAACTTAGTGTCACGCAAACATAATATATTTAAGTAGTTTGAATATAAGCAGCTCTGTATGCTTTGCAACAAATTATTTGCTCTCATATGTCAACAAGTCTTTCCTTTGCATGGTTTTCTGTCTCTATAACCTACTTTTCCTCTCTACCGCTTGGATTATTGTTGTTAGGCTCATCTCCCCGAGGTCACTCTGTTGTACCAGGTAGGCTTTTTCCGCCCTCAGCAAAAGAAGGAACTTGTTTGGCTGGTTCTGACAAAAAGGAAATAAAATCCTGGGGTTTGTCTTTGTCATTTATTGCAAAGGGAAGAAGCAGTGCAGAAAATCAGCCTGATTTCAGGAACTCATCCTGAAGTTCTGCTTTGGGTCTTGGGATTTTGAAGTAGTCTACCTTTTTTTTTTTTTTTTTTTTTGTCAGTTCTGTTGTTGCAGCTAAAAATATGTGATAACACGCATTCAATGAGCACCAAAGACAAATAAGTGTGTTTAGGTGTTTTATTAGCAGTTGGTCTACTGACATATTTTCAGCTGTAGTCATATTTAAGGTACTATTTTGTATTAAGGGGATATGTGTGTTTTGTTCAGTAATAAGTCTCATTTTAAGTCTTGAGGACTCCAGAAATGTATTGTCAACACCTTGAAACAACCCAGAATAAGGCAGGTAGCAGGAGCTTTTAGACCTGCTTTCTGGTTTATGGCGTGTTGCAGTTGCCATGTGTAACCCCGTTTCATCCGGCTCTCTACCCCCACCAGCACATTCCTGTTTTACCTGTATGAGGTGTCATGCAAAGGCTCACTGTTTCACAACTAACATACCACAGGCTAGGATAAATCAAAAGGGCTTGTTCTATATGAAATATAGCCAGGGTTTTTAATAGCAAGATTACTTTTCCATCCAGATACTTCTTCCGCTCACTTGTGTGCATATAAAATGTCGTGATTGGTTTATAACGTGCTTTTATTTTGTTAAATGTTTGTGTAGCAAAAGTGGCAGGACTCAGTTTAAGGACTCTATCAACTTTGTCTGACTTAAGTTCCTCAGCTAAAACATGTCATTTCCACTATTTTCCATGAGAGGGAGACAAAGTACCACTAGGAAAAAAGACTACAAACTTTAATGGTTCAACATTTGTGGTCATAATATAGACATGAAATGAAACTGAACTTTCCTCATCACATTAGTGTCTCTGCCTTGGTGTGAAGTGGTATAATCACATGATTATGAAATCTACAGTCCGAGAAATACTTAACAACACAGTCTGGTAAAACAAGAAGTAGTACTTAATATGTCAGACTGGTTGCTTAATGGGTTGGATTCCAGTATTTGTCTTGAACGTTGAAGTTACCTCAAAGTTAGAGGTTAGAGAAAAACATCTGTCATGGTATTACGACTTTTAAACTAAACCCATAATCTCCATATTTTAGGGGTTTTAGGGATGTGCCTCTTGCATCATTTCGTACAGATTTTCTGGGAATTCACCCTGACACATTTAGAAACTGGCTTCTTGACAAGACTTTAAAATAATTGGGGCTTGAGCAATACTTGCCTGCAAAACCTGTAGTAAGGATGGACCTGCCAAAATAAAGTGCAGGGATGAAGATGTTCAGAACAGAGTGTCATTACCAGGTGCAATGCCTGGCACATAAAACAAACATTACGTCAGATTCGGCATGTTGTGATCTTTTAAAAAAAAAAGTGAGACTTTACTGTTACGTTCATGTACAAAAATATATTTATTTGAAATGTTTTGTCGATGCAGACAACACTTACAACATTTAAAGATCTTACATACGATACAGTATATTAACAGTGGGCACAGTCTGGAAAGTCAAATCTTTTCACTTCAGCGGATAAAATCTTTTCAGACTGGGCTAAAGTGACCTAAGCTTCAATGTAAATATAAGAAATGTATAGCCTCATGTTCACCAATCTTCTGTTTCTGTTGGCTAGCACTTTGTTTGAGCAGTCCACTGTCAGCCAGTCCTTCATTTCATGAGGAAACATTGTTTCGGGTTGGTCAGCAAAAAGTTGGATTCAACGTTCTCCAGGACAGTTACGTCCAAGTCCACTTGTCCTTTTCTACCTGCAGAAGAGCATATCAACCAACAGCTCCAGCAGATCAGCCTGGCCTATCACGGGCCGGAAGAAGAGTTCAGAGATGAGGCTGGGTGTGATGCTCTGCAGCATGGAGGCTGTGAGGAGGACTCGAGCAAAGCGCTCCTGGTCCCCTGGGTGAAGGAGCTGTACGACCTCCCTGAGTGCGTGCTGAGCTTCCTGTTGCAAGCCTTCAACAAACAGAGCTGCCTTTAAATCAGGGACATCTGTTGAATGTAAAGACAAGACATTAGGGGTCACATACATGTATTAGGCATTTTTTTGTTATTCTTTCGGCAGTGATTGAAAATTTAGTCCTGAGAACCAAGAAATCAGAACATCATGGATACATACCTGGGTTAAATATCGTAGTCCCTTTGAGGTATGCATACTCCTTTGGACTCAAATCCAAACTCCAAAACTTTTTAAGGCAAGACTTGAGTTTGCTGACACCGGCCATGGTGGGCTGATCCCTCTCCATGTCGGAGCTCTCCTGGCGGTTCAGGAGAATCTTTTTCAGCATGCTGTCGGCAGGGGTGTCCATCACCTCAAAGTCCACATGCTCCTGGGCCAGGCCCAAAATGAAGAGCGGTGCCCAGCAACTTTTGAGAAGTGAGAACTGGTCGTTTGGTGGCATCTGGTTAAAAGCAGGTAAGTTCTTCATGAACTGGATGGTTTTAACCAGAACTGCTGAAGCTTCTTTACAAATCTCAGACGGCCTTTTCAAGCACACCGTCCGTCGCAGCTCACAGTTGCATCTATGAGGTACTGAATTGTAGTTGAAGCCGTTTTGGGTTGGTTTGCTGTTATCCATTTGGCTCAGGATTTTGAAGAGGATAGGATTAGAGAGACTTTCGGCTGAACAATGACACCCGTTATCCATTTTATAGGTTGTAGAGATCTACGTAGTTAAATGTTAGTGACCTCCCACAGGATGGGCTCTTCATGAGGTTGTGAGTACTACTGCTGCTTCCTCCAGTGCCCCTGTATTTATAAGGCCAACCCACCCTGCTAAGTGGACCTTGACTTGTCAATACACTCTGTGAAAAACAACTATGTGCTCTGCCAGGTGACTGATGGAATAACCCTGGGAAACCGATAAGCTTTTCTCAATGAAAAGGACTTGGTGGAGTAATGCCTGGATATCAAGAGGGTTGGGCCTTATCTCGTAGCCGGTGTCATTAACCCAGGCAGTACCAAGCTACCAAGGACTGCAGAGGTAATCAGCCCTACACTACATGTGTCCCTGCACACTGCCAACTCACACCTGCAGAGCTGGAGAGAGGCCAAAGCAGAGCGGGGGCATTGACCTACAAGTTAAGTCCTCAAGTTTTTTTTTTTTTTTTTAAATACATGTATCTTATTGTAGCTGTAGAACAACACTGGAATTTCGAAATGTTAATTTGGTGTCGTAAAACTGCCCAATCCAGTTTTTATTTCAATTTTATATTTATTGATTCGTAGCTAGGATTTTAGAAATACTGAGATCATTAGTACCCCCAAACACAACCCTCAGAATATTTGGCCAGAGACCAATTTTTAAATATTTGGATTTTTAAATTTGTATTTATTTATTATTTATCTAAGTGTTCATTTATATTTTATGTAGTTTTTCTTTTACTAAGTCTAACTGTAGCCGTGCTCTTGAAGGAGTGAGTGAGGCTATACTTAGACACAGTGTTGCTTTGAGCTTAATGCTAACATGATCATGCTAATGTCCTCACAGTGATAATGTTAGGATACTGATGTGAAGCAGGTGTAACATTTACAATGTTCACTATCTTAGTTTAGCGGGTTGACATGCAAAAACTTGCTAATTAAAGTAAAAAAGTTAAGGGATCAAAGTTTTTACAATTCAACCAGCGGCACATGAGTCACAAATTTAATCGCAATCCATCAGAGACATTTCACAAAAAACAACATCAACATCATAGTGGCCCTAAAGGAAAGTTCAGGGGATCACCAAAGTCAGTAGGATACATCCTCTGGGGACTGTGAATCTCTGTATAAAATATCATGGCAATCCATCCAATAGTTGTTGAAATATTTCCATCCGGACAAATGGGGTGGACCGACAGATGGCAAAATTCAAAATTGTAGAAGAATTCCAGCAAAAGCTGAAGTGTTTGTTGTTTTGCACAACTGATGAAAAGATGGATTGTTGCTATGACTGTGAAAGTTGTCAGTGTACTTAAAAACCCATTGCTCTGACTGCATTTCCCATTTGCAGGTCCTAAGTTGCTGTTATGCTATATTTCTTACAGGGGTAGTAACATTTGAAGTAATAAAAAAAAAAAAAAAAAAATGCTATAATTTTAGATACATTCACATCCAGCTCACTTGGTCATGAGGCTGATTAAAGTGTCAGTAGCTGATAGATAGATAGATAGATAGATAGATAGATAGATAGATAGATAGTCAGTCAAGGAAGCACATTCAGTTTCTTTTTATGTTTCAAACTTAAAGCTGTAAGATAACTTTTTTTTATTATTATTACAAAACAATCAAAGTTGTCCAAGAAAATTCAAGGAATTCCTGTTTATGGTGTCTGTAACAGGCGGTTTCATGTTCCACTTGTCATTTAAATAAGTTTACCCTAATTTGTTATCTTCCGGGTGCCTGGCACTGAGGTTCGAGACTGATAAGCAAATTGCTTTATTATTGTCACAAATAAACAAACCACATTTTCAGTGACACTTTTGGACATTTAGCACCATGAACCAGCTAAAACATTTACCACATTGTAAAGCGACAGGTGACACAATTCATAACATATTTTACTCTTTACTTTTGTCGGGACACCTGCTGCACAATCCAAGAAGCCTGAAACCATCATAGGATGGGAGCCGTGAACCGCAGAGCAGTGGAGTCAAGGTCAGTCAATAAAGTGAATGACTGCAATAAAGAGATTACAAGCCAGACACTACTGGCAGCACCAGTCACCGAATGTTTGTTTTACTTCATCAGTCTCTTTACTGATTCTTTCAAAGAATACTCCAGAATGGGTTTGCCTCGTTTTCTTTCCTGGTGTGATCTCATGATGATACACTATAGGGTGATTATTCATGTAAGACGTGACACATCTTCTCTCACAGGAGCTAAATCATAATGGATCCGCAGCTTCAAATGCATGATGAAACACATTACGTTATGTTCAAGAATTTCAGCAAAGTGACCTATAATGCCCTCAGCAGCCCTCGGGCTTCATGAGGCATGCTGGCAGTTGTAAATGCCTGCGATAAGGCTTGTGTTTATAGAGGTTAGGAGCAGGCAGAGACGGACACGGAGGACAGACGTTTATCTCCAACCAAGACCGTAAAAATAAAATGTCCTTCATTCTATTAGTGGAACAACTGCTGTATTCTGAGGGTCAAGTAGGCAAAACAATGAAGCATGGTGTAATGACTGGCACCTGGAGACTGTCCAACCCTTATTTTTATTTATTTTTTTACTATTATTAACATATAAAAGCATATTACTGTAATTAAAATATATACTATACTGCTATTACAGTAATAGCATCAAGTTAAAACTGTGATAATAATAACTGTTTAATAGGATAATCATTAGATCATTTTGAAGAGTCAACCTGAAACACAGTTAAGTTTTTCTTGTAAGGTTCCCTCCTCCCCGCCTCCTAAATGTTGACATTTATGTTTCCTCCAGTTTTAGCTTCCCCAGGTCATTGAACTCTCGGTGTGTGATGGACAACATGTCTGATACATGATGACACTTGACCTTGACCTACAGTTAATACAGCGTTCATTGCCTGGGTTCATTAACCCAAAATTATTCTTATACTGTAAGGTCATTTCAACCCTCAGCGAAAACATTGATTACCCTGGATCATGTTTATCGACTCACATGTGTTTTGTAGTTCTTTCAGGTTCACCATAAAAATTTTTATAATGTTATTAACTCTGATTTTTTACCCTTTCCAGGCTTTTGAGAAAAAGCAAACACATCAAAATAAAACTACCACTCCAATGTTTCAGTTTTGCAATGCAATAGCTCTTGCTGTAGTGATATGGGTTTTTTGCAGTGACATACTGTACTGTACTGTGCTCTAATGTTGACCCAGTATTACCTGGAAAAGCACACATGCTAAACTAACATACAGTTAATCTTCAATACTTTTGGGACACTGACCTAAGGTGTCTGTTGCAAAGAGTATCACATACTGATTAGTTTTGTTTAGTAATCCTTTGTTTAGATATTTCATGATTTAAGTTAGATTTCTTGCTAATTTTACACTGTATTTTATTTAGGTAACGTTTTTCTATGGCTGCCTTGTATTGTATGTAAGACACAATGAGGCGTTTGAGAAGTTCTTCTTCTTTGCTTCAATAGAAAGAATGGTTTTGTAAAAATGTTTTTTTCCCCTTGCAAAGTGAGAAATATATAAAAAAGTATTGTTACTGGCACCGGTATAAAAAATGTCAATCAATACTGAGTCCAACAGTTTAATAGTGAAGCTTTTATGAAAGTGCCAAAGGCCAAAAACTCCATCACAATGATCCATGATGGACTCTTTTTGTGACAGGGTTGCACAGTATTTTTGGTATGTCTGTGGAAAGATGTCTTGTCTCTGCAGGCTCACTATTTCTTTATTTGACTATTTCTTTAATTGACTTTGACTTGACAATATATGTAATATGATGTGTAAAGTGATGTCAGGGTCCAGACACCCGGGTCTAGTTTTACTGCCCATTACTATCAAAACACAATGATAAAAGTTAAGGTGAAGGCCATGGGAAGAGTTAGCCTATGGGTTAATGAACTCTAACTGAACACATTTCTTGGTTGTCTCTCTGAAAGAGGTTAAAAAAGATTTAGTAATGTTAAAGATTTAAATATTTTTCTTAGAAGACCAAACCGTTAAACAGCCTCATACTAGTCTTGTTACTTTTTTTGCCTAAATCTAATTTACATCTGTAAAGTTAAAAACTGAGCGACACTGTTGTGCCTTCTAACTGTCATTTGAGTCTCATGGTTTCATTTCTCCTTTTAACATTTTAACTTTGAATGAAATGCAGAACTGATCTCTCTGGTGAGTGGGTTGTCACCACTATATATATTCATTTTAACCCCCTAGCTATCTGAGGCGAGAGATTTCTCTTTAAATACCTCTACTAACATATCACCCATTCTTCCCCCCCATCTAAAAACCATTTCAGTTTTTTGTTTTTCCTCCTCAGAGAGCTGACAACATGCACTGTTGTGGCCTGTAAAGCCTGGTGAGACATTGTACGAGCTAAACTGCTCTTTGCTTATCACTCAAAAGTACAATTTCCTTTATATCAGGAAGATTTAAATGTGCAAATATTTCATGGAAAAGCTATAGAAACAACAACTCAAGTGTAGATACAGTAAAACCAGCAGAAATGATATTCATTATTGATTATTCAGAATATGTGCTTTGATACTATTGATAACATGAAAGATAAATATATATCTAGGAAAAACAATCATACTGGGGTAGTATGAGGGTTATGAGAACAACACAGAAATATAAAATAAGAAAGATAGAAAAACTGTTACAGTATTTGGACACATAACTCTAGTCCCCAGTGTTTATTTACCTTTACACCCATGTGTCCCTGTTTTGGCGTTGTGTCTTGTTTCAAAGATCCAGTGTGTAACATTGAGGAGGATCTAATGGCAGAAATGTTATATAATAATAATAATAATAGGTAGACTATGTTTTTTATTAGTGTGTCATCACCTGAATATATGAATTGTTGTGTTTTTGTTAGAATGAGACGTTTTTATCTACAGGGAGAGTGGGTCGCTCTACGAGGGCCGCCATCTCGAGCCACCATGTTTCTACAGTAGCTGAGATGAGATAAACCAAACACTGTAGATGGGGGACTTTCAAGTTTTTCACAAAATTTGCAGCAACTGTAGTTTATGCTACACCTTAGGAAGACTCAGTGGTATTCAAAAAGTTGCGACTAAATTCTACAAACTGGTCCTTTAAATTTAAAATCTTATTTTCAAACGTTTGCCTGCATGTATTCACGAGCTAGCGACCTTTCCTCAGTTTACAGTTGTATGCAAAGATATAATATCTCTAAAAATGTAAAAATAAGTAACCTGGTTACACCTAAAATATATAATAACGTAATATAAACAATATTGTGTAATAAATAACCCTTTTTACAACGTCTCAGGAAGCGGATATGACGTAATTCCTGAAAAAAAGGAAAACAATCATGGCGGACTCTGAGGCCGATGCTCCGGTGTATTTTGCTATTAGCAACATTCCTGAAGCCTTTCATTCATCCGACCTGAGGAATTATTTCAGTCAGTTCGTAGAAAGCGGCGGTTTTCGGTGTTTCCACTACCGACATCGACCGGAGGTCCTCAGGGAGTCCGAGGGGCCCGGAAACGTGTGTGTGGACGGCGAAGAGGGCAGCGACAGACCCCCGGACACTGCAACACCGAGCGGCTCTGAGAGCAGCGACAGACCCCCGGACACTGCAACACCGAGCGGCTCTGAGAGCAGCGACAGACCCCCGGACACTGCAACACCGAGCGGCTCTGAGAGCAGCGACAGACCCCCGGCACCAACCGAGCGGCTCTGAGAGCAGCGACAGACCCCCGACACTGCAACACCGAGCGGCTCTGAGAGCAGCGACAGACCCCCGGACACTGCAACACCGAGCGGCTCTGAGAGCAAGCGGACGGCCAAGTCGTGCTGTTGTGTTGTCTCAGTTAAAGCTAAAGAAGCCGACAGATTCGTCAGGATGTATGCGGGGAATAACTGGATTAACTCCAAGGGGAACTGGCTGAGTAGACGTTGTGTGATCAAAAGAGTTAAAGTTTCTTATGACAAAGGTCAGTTTATGTTTACATATATATATGTTTTTAAAGTGTGTCTGTAATTGAACTGTTTGTACAGAGAGATCACTGCATGTTTGATCTGGATTTGACGCATTTCTGTTCAACTAAAGGGGCACATGGGGAGCACTACTCAGCCTGTGATATATATAATGAAAAGAAAAAATAAAATAAGATGCATAACTTATAATGGAATAATGTATTGTAAATAATTGGACACTACAGATTTATAATGTAAAGCGTTATAAACAGTGGTTATGTAGTTGGTTACGGAAAGTATAGGATCAAGTGTTTTGGGAGCTTGACTCAGTCAAAGACTAACAGTTAGGATATACTGGCCTCTGTTGTTTAAAAGTCCCTCTATGATAATGAAACATGGCTGTCGCAAATTATCAGAGCCCAAACTGTAAAACTCTCCACTTTGGATGGGACGATATACTATATTAACGTATATTTTAAAATCCTCAGCCTGTCACCATGGCTGAAGGCTCGGCCTGCCTGTTCCCCTGTAATAAATAAATAAACTGGATGTGTGGAAGTAGTATAGATTCAAAGATAAAGAACAGGGAGATGACGTGTTTCTGTTTAATAATATAAAGTATATTTTCATGATTATTGTGATAATATCGCCTATTGCAATTATTTTGAAATTTTTGAATCGTCCCACCGATCGCCTGCCCACTTAGTACTTTCCCTCCCTGTTTCATATAGTTTGTAATTATATGAACAAAAGGAGTGCAAGTGTCTCTTGGTAGTGAAGTTATAATCATCATCAAATGCTCGATATTTTACCTTGAAAAGAGACTCGAGCAGTAAATTAATAATCAAAACTACAGTTGAGTCATTTTCAATCAGCGTAACTCATTTTAAGACACAACTTCTCCCAAATGTAAAAACGTCTTACAAAGACTTTATGTAGGTGTTACTGTTTATTACTAGAAATGTGTTTTGTCTTGTTTGATTGAAAAATTTGTTTTTATTCTTTCAGATGATGGGTCATTCCCGTATAAAACAAAGTACGAGCAGCGGCACCGGGTGTCCTTAACAGACTGTTTCACAGAGGCGGACCTCAAAAGCTTATCGGAGCTGAATCCACCCGCTCTGATGCAGAATGGGAATGTGGGCACACCGACAAAAGTGTTCCTACAGCTCATCCAGTCCTGCAGACTGCCTCCGCGCCTCATCCGGAAGTTGGGCCTCACTTTCCCCAAGACCAGCACCAATCGCCGCTACGGGAATGTATATTTTCAATATCAGGACAGTTGGACACTTCCAGCCACAGAGGAGACAATATTAACAGCTGCTGGCCATGAAATATCAGGACCAGGCACTTTGTCTGCTCCGCCCTCAAGACGGAGGCAGCCGACTGATCACACAGAAACAACAGACACTGATGAGCCGCAGCAGGAACAGGAGGAGGATGAACAGTCAAATGCAGATGATGTAGGTTCACATCCATTCGTATTTATTAGTTATTATGTAAAATATAAATGCATTTGATTGTTAGCATCAGCAGACTGTGATATGGGGCTGCATTGTCATTGTCACCACCATCTCTTTGCTGTGTTGTTTGTCAATTATTCATGTTGTTGGCTGTAGGATGATGACTGGTGTGAGGAGTGGGAGCGCCATGAGGCTTTGCATGAGGATGTAACGAGCCAGGAGCGAAGCAAAGAGAGGCTGTTTGAAGAGGAGATTGAGCTGAAGTGGGAGAAAGGCGGCTCAGGCCTTGTGTTCTACACTGATGCCCAGTACTGGCAGGAGGAAGAAGGAGGTATGCAACAAAAACATAAATCATAGTTTTCCACACTTACCAGAAGAGGCTGGTACATCAAAATATATGTTTATAGATTTTTAAAAAATTACATATTAATTAGATTTGCTTGATGAAATATTGATTACATTTCTGTGTCCTTTTCTTTTTTTTAGATTTTGATGAACAAACAGCAGACGACTGGGATGTCGACATGAGTGTTTACTATGATAAAGGTATCTCAAGTTTGTTTTACATCTGTGGTTATATTGATTGATAAAGGGAACCAAAGTGTGAGTTATCTCATCAGAATCAGATTTCCTTTAACCAAGGTCTTCCTTTCACAGATGGAGGTGACATGGATGCCCGTGACTATGTCCGAATGCGGTATGAAAAAAGGCTGAGGGAGGGTCTTGAAGATAGATCTGGAAACAGTCAGTCTATTGGCAGCTTTGAGAGGTTCACTAAGGTAAGGACGTGGTCTATAATTTGCCTCCCATATTTTCTACCATAGCATGTATGGGCAATTTTCTAATGTTTTTTTTTTCTTTTTAGGGCTTTGGTCGTCGTTTGATGGAAAAGCAGGGCTGGAAGGATGGTGAAGGGTTGGGAAACAGTCAGGTTGGGATTCCTGAAGCTCTTGAGAGTGAGGGCCAACATCCCAATTGCAAAAGAGGCTTTGGGTGTGTATTAACACGAAAACAGAATCAAGAAAATGTAATTGCTTGCATGTTTTGGTATACAAGTGAGTGGACACTGTTTTAGTGGTCTTCTGATGCTATTGCATTTCTTTTCTGCAGGTATCATGGAGAGAAATTGCTTTTACATTCTGTAAAAAAGCCCAAAAGAGATTTTCATATAACTACAGTGTATGATAAACCCAAAGACATAGACGGAGGTGACACGTTGCTGAGACGTCAACCAAACACAAGTATGAAGTACAGAGGCTGGCAGCCAGGTGGCAGCATTGGACCACGAAGATGACTTTAATTAAATTATTATAGTTTTATAGATTTTTATTTTTTTCCTCACCTGTTTATTTGACTGTTCCATTAAAACAAAAATTCAAACCTTTCCTTTTACCTGTGCTGACTTTGTCTTTTAACTTATATACTTATGTTGTAATGTCTCAAATTGCTGACTCATTATCACACTAAAGCTTGTCTTCCTATGCTAATGATTCACTGTCTAGAATGTATTAATGGTGTAATATATTTATATTTATGTATAAAATAATATATATATATATATATATATATATATAGTGTGTATAAAATAATATATAAGGTACCATCGCAGAGGTGTTGAGCTGTGAGGTTCGGTAGTTTATTGAAAAACAACAGACTTTTATTTTGACATCTCGGTTCCGTGACCCGGATGTACTTTAGGGCAGCATAGCTAGTTAGCTAACAACAGTTGTACGCATGCAAACAAATCGGCGGCGGATGGTAATTATCCTTCAGTGCTTTTATAAATAAAAACCTGATATGTTGTAACAGAAGTTGTAGCGTTAGATTAGATTCATCTTTTGTCAGATAACTTTCAATTCGCTGCAGTTGTGGAGTTTTACTAATAAACTTGGTTAGCAGAGTATCGATGGTATCGAGATGACTTGTTGCTTTAGATAGTAGCTAACTAGCTAACGGTTAAAAAAGGCTGAACTCTGTCCTGTTTGTGCTAATATTTGACCCTGGTTGACCCTGGTTGACCCTATCAGGGTACAATCTGGACGCTACGACTCATGTGGCCCCTCTGACATACTTGGTCCCCATCTTTCGGATCCTCTACGGCTCTTCAGTCCCCTTGACACTGCAACCATGTCCAGCCAGACAGGAGTGACTCCCCCTCTACGCTTCGGCCAGGTGGTCATTGGACCCCCAGGCTCAGGAAAGACCACCTACTGCCAAGGAATGCAGGAGTTCCTTACTCACCTGGGGCGCAAGGTGGTCGTGGTGAACATGGACCCTGCCAACGAGGGACTGCCGTATTCCTGTGGGGTAGACATCTCAGAGCTGGTCACTCTGGATGATGTTATGGAGGGCTTGAAGCTGGGGCCCAACGGTGGGCTCCTCTACTGTATGGACTATGTAGAAGCAAATCTGGACTGGTTAGAGAACAAGCTGAAACAGCACAGTGATTGTTACTTCTTGTTTGACTGTCCTGGACAAGTAGAGCTCTACACCCACCAGACCTCAGTGAAGAACATCTTCTCACAGCTGGCAAAGTGGAATTTCAGGGTGAGCGTCTTTTAAAAGGGAATAATGTTAACATAATATTAAAGTGATTCCGCCTTGCGTGTAGGTATAATGGCTGTCGTTCTCCCACACTTTCTTGCTTCTTTAAGCTCACAGCAGTGCACCTTGTGGACTCTCATTACTGTGCTGACCCAGCCAAGTTCATCTCTGTGCTCTGTACCTCCCTGTCCACCATGCTGCACGTGGAGCTTCCCCATGTCAACATCCTCTCCAAGATGGACTTGATTGAGCAGTATGGCAAACTAGGTGAGTTGGGGGGCGGTGTTTCACCTCAAACAAAACAAAACAAATGTTACCACGCTCAAAATATATGACCGCTGAAGACAGAGGATTCTTATATTTCTCGTGCATGCACCAGTAATTTCATAACCCACTTTCATTACATTTTTCCTATCTGTGTTCTTGTACAGCCTTCAACCTTGACTTCTACACAGAGGTCATGGACCTGACGTATCTTCTTGATCACCTGGCCGCAGACCCCTTCTTTAAAAAATTCCACCATCTAAATGAAAAGTTGGCCGAGGTCATACAGGATTACAGCCTCGTCTCCTTTGTGCCCCTCAATGTGCAGGTATCACTGTTTGCTTTTTCTGAAAGAATGACCCCTCAGTGACTCATGCTCAATATATTTTATACTGCTGCTGGTACATTCTAGCCAATAGGACATAATAGTGCTCTGAAATGTGCTTCAGTAAATTAAATGTAGAATCACTGAGGATTTCCTGATTCAAAAAGCGCTTGCATGGCTTAAGCTAGTATAGAGGCCAATTGCACGTGGCTGTCGTCAACCTTCTGAATTTAAATTAATGTAACTAATGAAATGTAATTCATATAGGTTATAGGGTGTATATCAGATTTCAGGAATATAATGTAACATAATTATTTTCTCTAACGGCTCACTTTGGATGCATGCTCTGTGGTCAGAAAAAGAAACTCTCCATCTCACCAGCCGTTGGGTTTTGTTGCTTTGTTGCTGCAGGAATGTTAACAACACAGCGCTACTGTATATTGCATTCGGCTACACACAAATCTTTCCTCTCCAGTTTCTGTGTAGCACAGGAAAAGGCTGAAAGATTAGTACATACTTCAGAGTGATATGTTTTTTGTTTATTAAAACTCATTTCATGTTTTGACTGAAAGCAAATTTGGCACCAAATATTAATTAATTCTTACTTAATAACTGTATGTGGAGTTTGCCTGACGTTCCTTTTTAATTCCTTCATTATATTTTTGTAGACGGGTTTATTACCCACAGAAAACAGAAGAGAACTGGCTTGAACGTGTTTCACTCCTACATTAATTCACCTTTGCCAAAATGGCTCCCTTCCAAGTATTTCTAAAAATCACTCACCATATATTTCATTTCTTCAACAGGTAAAACATAAATCATTTTGAGCATTTGAAATTGAACACTGGATCAATTTTCTGCAGATGGATTAGAGTGTTAAAAGAGAGTGGGCTGTCTGCACACTGTATTCGTTCCCCGACATTATTTCTTTATGGAGACTGATATGATCCTGTGTGTGTATCCAGAGACAGGAGTCTAGACCGCTGTGCCATCACCGCATATGGGACCAGTAATTTATACAAATGGCAGGTTAGCACTCTTGTTTCCATCATGGTGTAAAAAGCAGCCTTGATGCATTTCCCTTTTAAGTTAAGCAGCCACTAGTTACCTTGGTTACCAATGGTACTTAACATGGTAAATTGAACTGGCAAACACGCGTTTGACCTTGAGAAAGACAAAATGCTAAACTATGAGCAATAGAGGAAGTTTGGGTTTTTAAGGCTTCGTATGTAGCTTATCTCAAAATACTAAACCTTGATAAACCGACACCAAGGCTGAAGAGGCTGCATAACCACATTTGCAAGAAGGAAAATGTTTTTTCGAGGGAGAAGTCTGCCTGTATGCTGCAGCAGATCTGACTGGAAGAAAAAAACAATAGGAAAAGAGAGTTAGGACATATGAAACATTTCAAATTGAACACTTACTTGTGATTTCATTACTTCTATTTACTTTATATACTTGTACTGATTCAGAAAACAAGAAATACAATTGTGTTTAAACAGCACATTATCAAGGTTTCAGTGAGAGTTTTTTCTGCAAATATTTGCTCATGAGGGAGTTTCACTGAATTTCTATAAGGAAACCCCCCCCTGATCAGATGCTTCTCCTTTCTGTCCCCAGGACAAAGAAAGCATGATTCAGGTCTTACGGGCAGTGGACAAGGCCAACGGCTACTGCTTTGGAGACCTGGAGGAGAGGAATCTGCAGGCCATGATGTCAGCTGCTGTGGGGGCAGACTTCCAGTTTGACTCGTATCCTTTCCTAATCACTGTGGTGACTCACCGTGAGTCATCTGGTTTAAAAACCTTAGGATTTACAGGAGCTAGCTGAAATACTGAATACTCTTTTGTTTATGATGACTTAAGAGAAATTATGCTTAAAGTAACCTGGATCTTTTATTAGAAAATGTGTTGTTTTATGTTTTCCTTAACAGCACTCCAGCACTCTTGGAGTGCAAGAGCGGTATGTCGAAACCAGTGGAAAGACTGTGGAAGAGGAAATGATGGACCTATAAATTGAAAAAAGCCCAAATCAAAGGACAAAACTGGTTGCCTTTTTAGCTCCAGCATACCAGGGGAGTGTTGGCAACATCCATCTCACTTGGCCTGAATTCTGAGCTTCAGTACAAAAGCAGTGGAGAGACAGAAACTAAATTTGGGTGCGGAAGATACTTGAAGGTTGCACCACATATCATGAAAATCATGAGGACGACTGAGGGAAGTAAATGCCGAGCTTTTCTTCAGTTATCAATGAGAGTGGTGTTATTTTTCCACACTTTACTGTCTCTCTAGACGACAATATGGAAATATTCAATAAATGCCAATATGTTTTCTTAAAATGTATCTAAAGGCCCTTGTTTAGTTTCTACATGAGTACAGCCCCATATTTCTAAGAAAACTCGAGGACAATTTCCAGGACAAGCATCCAGCAGTGCAAGTCTATACGTTCATATTCATTCTGAAACAATAAAGTGACGGCAATTAATATTGGCATTGTTTTTGTCTTCTCTACGGGAAAGAATCAACAGAAAATATAAGAGTCATGTTGTTTGAGTTGATATTCCTCGCTGCTTGCATTAGAACTGGCGAAAATGATGGCAAACATTATATAGAGGACTGTCCTCAAGCGTACCCTTCTGCTATGTGCATATATTAGTGAGGAGTATGTCTGACGGAGAGATACAGAGAACAGACAGCACATTTCCCTTGATATGCAGTGGAATATAATGGAACTTGACAATCGGCAGTGCCTCAGAGATGCAAGTACAAATTGAGTGTGTGTGTGCAGTGGATGGGTAAATATTAACATGACCATTACATATTTACCAATTGTAATAACATTATGCATAGGTCAGATAGTAAGCTGGTTAATATCCAATCAGTTTGATTTGAAGTATTTGGGTGTCAGAACAAATGTAATATTATAATATTTCTACATTACAGACTATGATACTGCTCTTTTTTATTATTAAAGAATCATACAGTTGCAAAGCAAAAGGGTATTATGCAACATGCTAGGAAAAATGGGGGGAAAAGTGTGAATCTCATAAATCTAAAACAATCATTTGCTTCTTACTAATAACACAACAGAATAATGTCCATGGAGCATCGTTTCACAAACGCGAGGTGAATCTAAAACATCAGAAGTAGTAATGACTTCGGCCAAGAGCGAGTCCTTGCATGCTGGGTCTATATTTTGTCCAGCAGGTGGCGCATGTGTTTGCAAATCCTCCTCCCGGATCCACAAAAGTCTGCTACAGCTTTTCCCAGCAGCCAGAGCAGAAAAATTAAGTCAGGCGGGGAGAGGAAGCTACATTAAATCTGTTTCTGCACAACTGGCCCTGTGTCTGGTCTCTGGGATGGAAGACCCTCTGTCTTTCTAAAAGCAACTAAAACTCTTCTTTAACTCGGAGGAGTTTATTTCCCACTGCTGCTGTTGTGCTCTTCCTTCCCTGTGAAACCCACTTTCAAACCTAAACATCCGCATTTTTAAATGCACCCCCCCACCCCCAACACACACACACACACACAACAGTAAAAACAGAGTCTAGACGCCCTCATACACACATTTTGAACTCGAGGGGCTTCGTGTGCGTGCATGCACTTCTCATGCATCGCCGTAGTGTGACTGAAATAAAACGTGATCCACTCTGCGAGCTCGCACTGATGTGGGAAATCACATTAACCCCGTGTGGTATGATGTGGCTGTGGAATTATATGAGGACGAAGCTCTGTGCTCTCCGTGCATTAGGGGGGTGTGTCAGGCACAATGTTAAATTGTGTTCCGATGTTTGTACATGTGATCAAGTATGCCTTCTCACTGGTACTTCCTGCCTTTTTTTTCTCCCTATAAGCCCCCTAGAGGTAGGTGTGTGTGCGTGCGTACGTGCGCGCGTTTGTGTGAGTGAAAGAGCAGAGCGAGAGAGACAGTGTGTGTGTGTGTATTGAGAGTGAGAAGAGAACCCGAAAGGCAATCTTGTCCCACTTTCACCCAAAATCTTAATTTTAATCCAATACCCAATGGAGCCATTGAACGCCTCATTAACCTTGTCATGTATATACATTTCATTCTTTTTAATAAAAACTCCCTCAGCCTTCTCACACACACACACACACACACTTCTCATTACCATCCCACTCTTGTTCAATGCTGTGTGTGCACACACCCTGTGGATGCCAAAAATGTCTGCTTCATTTGACTGAGGAGAGAGGGGACAAATGCTCCATTTTTCTAATTGTTGGGAGACTTTGAAACTGTTCATGCATCCTCTGTCTGGTAGATAAGGTCTGGGGTTTTTTTTCTCTTTTTTTTTCTTGTACGGCGTAGTTCAATGTTAGTAGGGTGAGAGAGAGAGAGAGAGAGAGAGAGAGCGCGCTGGAGCCTGTGCACCCATCCCCCCACACTCAGCAGAGGAGTGTTTCTGCCGGAGTGAGAGACAGACAGAGAGGAGAGGAGAGGGGGTGGTAGAGCAGAGCAGAGCATAGCAGGCAGGGGAGGGAGTAAGAGGGAATGTGCATTGGTAGTCTCGTTTGCTGCAAGGCTTCCTCCTGCTCTGGAAAAACCTGTGTGTGTTGCCTTTGCTTGCCTAAACACCACTCAGAAACACTAGTGGGAATTACCTAAAAGCGCCAGTGTACACAGGCAGATTTTTGAGCTAAATATATTTATAGATGTGACTATTACTACTCTTATATTCCCCCCTCCCACAAGTAAGATTTATAACTGTGTGTGTGGAAAACCAGGCTAAATTAACTTGATTTAATACCCATGTTGCTGTGCAGCTCTTGCACCCACATAAATGCAAACACACTTTATATAAAAAATTATATATTTCATTAATTAATTACTTTCACCCCCTACTGATCACTCATGAAATCCAACATGCGCATGTATAATTTGTAATACACAGCATCTTGAGGGGTTGATTTAAAGTACATTTTGTTTCCCCTCTATGTTGGTAACACAACATTTACGATCCGTGTGAACATTTGAGTCTCTTCTTGTGGAGAAAATATTCCACCTATGTGGAGATGTGAAGAGAGAGAGAGAAAAAAAAAAAGACAATGTGAGGTTGTAAGACAGAAAGTCCACTCCGCCTTGGAGCGGCTCCAGTCCGTGTTTTGCCTCCAGCCGTGCGGCTCAGTAAAATGGCTGTATGTAGCGGAGCCTCGTGTTGGTTGGGTTTGCTCCCTGCCTCTACCCGGGCTCAGTAACACAACTCCCACAACAATTTCTGTCGGTTTTTTACGCATTGTATGGAGCCTCCATCATATCTCTAACCCATTTACGGAACCGGAACCGGGGGGATGGAAGCCGGATTGGGTCCGGTGTAAGGGGTGGGAATGAATCGGCACAAGGATAAATGGTTATAAACAATTATTTATATTCAATGCTAGCTTTTGATTGTGACTGACTCGCCGAGAGAGGGAGAGAGAGGTGGTGGGGGGGGTATATCATGGCCGCTCAGGTCGCCAGCGCCGCCACTCTTAACACTAGCCCGCCGTCCGAACTCAAAAAGCCGGATCGAGACCCCAAGGAGGAGACGGTACCGGGGGAGAAGCAGTCAGACAAAAAGCAGCCGGGCTTGGACAGCGGATCGCCGGGCCGGGGGGAGCTGCAGGACGGGGTCGACGGTGGAAATGCAGGGGGAGGAGGGGAACCTGAGATGAAGAACGGGAATGGGAACCCGCCCAGGGCTAACAATAATAACCAGAATGACTCTGTCGGACCGGAGGGAAATAACCACCCCGGTTTGGTGCATCACCACGGCCCCGCTTTTCCTCCACCTTCGTACGGATACAGTCAGCACTACGGTCGGGCCCCTTTTCATCAACATGGCGGACAACAAAGCCCTGGCATGGCAGCTGCTGCGGGTCCGGTCGTGCAGTCGAGCAACATGATGGACCCGTATCAGCCCAATTCACACGACCATGGCTTTTCAAACCACCAGTTTAACAATTACAACCCTTTCCCGAACAGGACTCCCTATCCCGGCCAAGCGTACGCCATGAACTCCCCTCGCAGTACCCAGGCGCCGACAGCTGGGGGGCAGCCAGCTAATGTTAAGCAGCAGCAGCAGCCACCAGCGGGAGGACCCACGGCGATGGCTGGATCTTACAATAACCAGAGATATAACATTGGAAACCCTCAGCCTACATCCACACCGACACTCAACAAGCTCCTGACCTCCCCCAGCTCAACGCGGGCATATCCAAACTACCCGTCCGGCGACTACAGCAGCCAAGAGGGAGCTAGTAAGGGACCAGCAGACATGGGCAGTAGCGGTCTGTATGGAGGGAGCAACCCGGGCTGGCAACAAAGAAGCCATCTCCCGTCGCCCATGAGCCCGGGAAGTGCCGGGCAGCCGCTAGTTAGAAACCAGGTAAAGTCACATTATTACAGGAACACGATGTGGGCTTTAGCATGTCTCCTTCCCTCCTCCTAGCTAACGTAGCAGGCCAGCCATTGTCTGATACTAGTTCGCAAAGACTCTAAAATGGCTGCCTCTTCGTGTGTGTGTGTTTTTTTTCCTTTACACCAGACCGTTAAATAGTAATGGTTTTTTAAACGTATCTGTGGGGGTATGTAGAAACACAAGAGTGCCGCTCGAAGAAAGATATAAGTAGTTGTAACGATGTAAGGACGTTCAGGGAGTCAAGAAGGCCCGACTTTGAAAAGGAGGCGAAAATACTCAACGGACAGCAACGGCTCGTTTTCTCCTCAGCTAGCTTTTTCCTACGTGTATTAAACATTAAATTAACAACGTATGTCGGTGTAAATGAGTGTATGCTTTACCGGGTACACGAAGGGCAACGTGTTCTCGGGCAGGTTAGTTTGTGGTAGTTGCTCACAGGGCTCACGTTTGCATTGTTTTCTTGCCCTGATAAGCTATAATTTTGTGGCTGCGACGGAAGGAATGTGTTGCATGCCGAATCAGTCTCACGGTTAGTTAAATGCCTTGTGTTTGTTCACTTTAAATCACTTAAATGTCCCGCACGACGCCAGGAAAAGGTTGTAAATTGTTACACTTTAATCACACGTCGATTAAAATGAGTTCCCCCCCGTGCTGAAAAGCTACCGGGCTTCCCATTGCCTGCTGCCTGTAAACAGCCAGCTCAGCCATACATGAGTGAGTGACTGCAGCCTGCAGATTGCAGTTTGCACTGGGATTTGAATTGTGGAGGTAAAATCCTGCTGTCAAAGCCAGGAGATAGTTGGTCTTTGGTTGACATGCTAGCTGAGATCTGATTGGCTCCTCATCCGCTGCTCATGGCCATTTATAATTACATGTGATGCAAGGCAACAGTTGCTGATAAGAACACACAGCATTAAGTCATCACAGGGTCACCAGAGGTATTACTGCCTCACGGCTCCACTTTTCACTTTAAAACACAACATGTAGTGTTGGAGAAACAGGAACGTATGTGGATTTATGTTTTTCATTTTATCTTTTGGCACCACCCAAAAAACCCCCATTATTTATGAACTCTTCAAAGAGGCATGCATTATGGTTTTAAGTTTTAATATTACCACCACAAGCAGTCCTGTCATGTCTTGTATCTTGATGACTTAAGTATTCATTTGTATAACGACTGTGGACTGAATCAGTGTAGGTAGTGCAGGTACAGCACTGTGGTGTTTGTATTAAATCCAAATTAAATATTAAGTCATTAAATGCTTAAAATCTAATGGCTTCTGCTGTTTGTTTACTTTTCTTGTTATTGATTTACATACCCCCTTATTTGTTATCTATGATGTCCCCTAGATAAACAAACGATATATTGATAGACACCTTTTTGTTTTGTCTTTTTCATATTGTAACTTGTTACACAGCAGCCAAAGGCAAATTTAACCTCTGACTGTGAGGATGTGTGTGTTGCTGCTGTGCCTGGCATGCCACACAAGTTTGCCTGTGTGACTGCAAAGAATTCCCCCCCAATCCTCCCCCCAAGCCAATCAGAAGGCAGTCCACCATCTCTCACCAGCCAAGGGAGTTTCCTCTCTGTCTTATGCAGATTAGCCATGTGCTGCTCTTATTTATTTCACCTCATTATCTTGGATCTGCAAAATGTCACGTAAGGCATTTTGCATACTATTTGTAAAGGGCTGTTGTTCAGCTGAGGACGCGCTTTCTCAGTAAAGTGCACATGTGGGAATTCACACGATGTAAAGCATGGAGATACTTTCAGTTCTCAAGTAGATGCTTTTTAGTGACATTCCTGACCTCATACTGCCAGATAGTTTTGGTGGAGGTGAGGGGATTATTGGATCTTAAATGTACGGCGCTAACATTACACAACAGTAAGTGGGCAATGTTGATGATTTAGGCATAGCACAAAGTTTTTACCTGAGAGATTATGTTTATACTAACTGTTATTCTATTGACAGATTATGCTCTTGTGCATTTTTCACTCTCTCTGGCTGTTGTGAAAGTACTTCCTTCATTTCTGGTGTCATTCATCCAGAGCCAAACTGCCTCCTCTGGGGAAAAAAAAGCTACTTGGACCAGGCTCAAAACAGGAGCACAGCTGGGATATGTTTAAGATTGGGCAGGCTGCCCTCCATTCGAAAGTAGATATATATAGCTCTGTTGACTTCCGAAACTATGGCAAAGTGAGGTGAAAAAAACTCAGGGTAATGACCGTGGGAAATAAGGTGAAAAAAAAGCACAATTTCCTCATTCATTGAAGCTTGTATTTTACACTTTTAGCGCTGTGAAGGTTGCACACTGCAGCCAAGTATTTTATGGACTTTTCAAGAAAACACAGTAATGGCATAATTAAATTGTTTAGGAATGAGGAGGGGTGCATGTAAGTTGTAGTACTTGCTGTTCAGATTTCTCCTGTGCTTCTTGGTTGTTGACTTCAATGTATTTTCTTGTGTTCTTTACCATGTACAGCCACCTGGTCCCATTGACCCAATGGGGAAAATGAGAGCTCAACCATACGGAGCAGGCAGCCCTTACAGTCAGCAGTCGCAGCAGGGGCCTCCCACAGGTCCACAACAGGGTCCTGGTTACCCTGGCCAGGGTTATGGCCCACCAGGTCCTCAGCGGTATCCAGTGGGAATTCAAGGACGTACCCCTGGAGGCATGGGTGGCATGCCGTATGGTCCCCAGGTATTTCACAAGATTGATCTTATTCAGAAATAAGTCCCCAGTGTTTAAATGTAGTCTTTTATCAGTGTGTTTTCTTCAGTTCTGTTGGAAGTTTGTGTTTGTGTATTTTGTCTAGATGGGATCTTACGGACAGCAGGGACCAGGAGGCTATGGCACTCAGGGCCAGGCACCATATTACGGCCAGCCGGGCCAGGCTCCCCACCCAAGCCAGCAGCAAACCCCCTATTCCCAGCCCCCACAAGGACAACCGGGTGGCCAGACCCCTTACACAGGGCAACCCCACCCTCCGCCGACGTCTGCCACACACACCCAAGGAGGACCACCCTATCAGCAGCCCCACATGCCCCCACAGTCCCAGGGGCCACTGCCAGGCCCATCTCAAGGGCCCCCACAGTCTGGCCAGTCTCTCTATCCTCAGCCACAGGGTCCTCCCAGCCAGGCCCCACAGCAGCCAAGTTCCCAGGATCCCCCTGGGTCACAGGGCCAGTCCAACTACCCAGGATCCACACAGGGGCCTCAGCAGCCCTCCTCGCAGCAACAGCAGGCACAATCTCAGCCTCCACAGCAGCCACCAGGACACAGCCAACACCCACAGGGCCAGCCTGCAGCTTACCCGCAGAACCCTCAGCAACAGCAGCAGCAAGCACAACAGTCACCTTATCAGCGCTTTCCTCCTCCACCACAACAGGTACTACCCTCAGTCTGGGATCATATTCATCATACTTAATTATCTTTCTCTGTGTTCACAGGCATGCTTTTCCTGTAACTCTGGCAGTATACTTAAGCATGTGTTCTGGTGTCTTTTAGGAGGTATCCCAGGACTCTTTTCAGTCCAGCGCCCCTCCATCCACTCAGCCGAAATCTGGCCCAGAGGACAGTCAAGGCCGCCCCTCCAGCCTTCCGGTCAGTTATGCTTGTTATGTCTCTGCTGAAGCATAAAAAGGCTTTTTTACACTGTGTTTTTGCTTTTCACCCTCATGTAAGAGGGCTAGTTTCTATTTGTGTCTTGTAGCCTTCATTGTTCGGGGCATTTTACTACTTTTGAAATGTTTGACAATACGAGGCTCATTAAATTTACAATTTCCTTAGTGTTACTTTGAATAGCAGTTATTAATGTTTTAAAAGCTTTAATTTTGCTGCATGCCTGTATTGTGGCGGCTGTGCTTTCCATTCCTAGGGGGTTTTAGACTTTGTGTGCTGCTCCACGTTTGTTTGTTCAGCGAAGGCTGTGTGGCTAATGCTTGAGGAAAAGGTGCTGTGTAAATGGGTAAATCTGAGATGAATACAAGAGAGTTTGTTTGTGTATTGAAATCACATGGCAGGCTGCTGCTACATGCTGACTCAGCTCTCATCCTACAAACCTTGGTAACCATGACAACCCCCGCACTAATGCGCACTCATTTTTTCTTTGAAAAAGATAAATAGGGACAAAGGCCTCTGGGTGTGTGTGTGTGTGTGTGTGTGTAGTACTTGAGTGTGCCACTCGTATCTAAACAACAGAGAGGGAACTACAACATGCCAATACTACAGCCAGAATGTCAAATAAATAAAAAACAATACTAGAAATGGTAATGATGAATCTGTAAAAGAAAATGGTATCTGTCAAAATGCATTAGAGCTGAATCTTCTAAAGTCATAGACATTTCCTTTTTCTTTTAATGTACCATCTTTGTTGACTCTACCTCTGCTCTTCCTTTACGTGTTTTCAGGACCTGTCAGGGTCCATCGATGACCTGCCTACAGGTACAGAGGGCGCCCTGAGTCCCGGTGTGAGCACGTCAGGTGTGTCAAGCAGCCAGGGAGAGCAGAGTAACCAGGCGCAGTCGCCTTTCTCCCCTCACACGTCTCCCCACCTGCCAGGCATTCGTGGGCCTTCACCTTCCCCAGCTGGATCCCCTGCCAGTGCCAGCACACCTCGGACAGGACCGCTGTCGCCTGCTAACATGCCAGGTGGGCTGATCCCTCACGCACTGAAATGTGACATATGATCAGTAGCAGAATCCTGACATTTGTGTATTTAAGATACCAAATTACACGTGCTTTGGGTCATAACAGCTTTTTTATATTGGTTTTGCAGTTCAAGTGAAACTTAAATTCTGTCATTAAGTTCTTACATTTTATCTACGTATTTGATTGAGAACACTAACAAGTAGAAAACAGTACTATTATACTTATATATATTATTGAACTCTTAAACCTTGATTTTCCTGATTTAAAACTCCCCCTTAAGTAGTTTTATTGAACGCTGACAATATCATTCTCTATTCTCTATTTTCTAAAACTTCATTGAATCTTTAACGCTCTCTATATAAAGCTTCACCTTACAGCACTCGGTAACATTAAAAATGTCCTGAAGTCACATTTTTCCCTCAAAACTCAATATATTCTGGGTCTTGGCTACACTTTAAAATATTTTAAGTTCTGTCAGTTGGACAATGCTCTTTCACAAAACATGCATCTGTAGGGACTGAGCCAATGGGTCCGGCAGGGTTAAAGGTAGGGATGTCCCAATCTCAGCGATCGGTATTGACACCGATCAAAGCGTTTTTAACTGATCGTCGGCTATGTTGAGCTTTATTGATCTGATTCGATCTTTTGTTTTACGTTAACTGTCATTCAGCTGTTCATCAACTCTCTCGCTGTTCCTTTTCATCCATTCGGCTCTGTGTGTGTGTGTGTGTGTGTGTGTGTGAGAACGGGGGCAGCCCCGCCTGTGCTCGGAGGAGGGAGCGGATGTAGATGTATGCAACAAATGTCCCGCCATCAAAAAGCCAATAAGACTAATTAATTAATGTATTCCGAGCAAAAGATATAGAGACGATGGAAACACTCAGATAAATACAGTTCATTCAGGTAACTTACGTAAAAGCTGCACTGAAGCAACAAACACTGGCGAGATGACAGAGGGTTTGTTATTTTATGCTTTATTGTGGAAAAAAGTAAAACATTAAGGAACAGCTTTGATGTGGGCATTTTGTTTCTTAAGCAGGGCTATTTAATGGTCAAGCATTGGAATTGATTTTAGTAACTTTATCGGGAATCAGTATCGGGACATCCCTAGTTAAATGTGTCAGTTGGTGTAAATAGATTTCTCAACTATGGTAGCTTCATTATAAACACAGTGGCTTGAAACTCAATATTTGTATTGTACCTTTTTTGAGCTCACACTAACTTGGGTTTAATATTATTGTTCAGTGACCCAGATGCCTCCCAGGCCATCAAGTGTACAGTCAGATGGGAGTCTGCACCCTGCAATGAGCCAGTCTCCTATGGCCCAGGACAGAGGTATGCTGCAGTATACATGCAAAGTGTTAGTAGAGAGTAACATGTCAAGAGTTTGCTGTAGCATCTGAGTCTAAGCACCCCTCTCTTGCCCTCTTTTAGGTTTTATGCAGAGAAACCCTCAGATGCCCCCTTATGGCTCCCCCCAGTCTGCCTCTGCACTGTCACCTCGCCAGTCCTCAGGGGGACAGATGCATCCTGGGATGGGCCCATATCAGCAGAACAACTCCATGGGTGGCTATGGACAGCAGGGAGGACAATATGGACCCCAAGGTTGGTACTTTTGAATTGTCAGGGTTAAACTTGAAGAGAGTGAGCTTTATTGTGTTTTAAAATTCTGTTGTGTATTTGTGAAACAATTAATTGAAATGGCTTCTATAGATGTTTATGGCTTAAGTTTGGATTTGTTAGGGTTTTCCATTTAATTTACTATGTATTTGCAAAGTTTTCTAATGTAGATTTCCCATAACACACATATGGACTATATCTCCCTGCCTCATAGCAGTACCATGCTATCGTTGGTCCCTCCCTCTGACTCCGTTGCAGCTATTTATAGCAGTGAAGCAGAGAGTCAGCTGACGTAGCAGAGCCTCCTGTCAGTAGAGCTGAGACTGTGACGAAGGCTTGTTGCTCAGGGTGCATAGCTCTCTCTGCTAGCACACTGTAGGGAGAAAGTCCGCCTCACCACAGGACTCACAACTAGAACGGTCCACTTTTAATGTTGAGCACAAATAAAGTCCTGGGTCTTGTAGTGATTCCAGACTGGTATACAGTCACAGCCAAGTGATTACTTTGTCTGATTTTTTTTTTTTTTTTTTTTTTTTGTTAAAATGTCTTTCATAGGTTATCCCCGGCAACCTGGTTATGGCAACATGCCCAATGCAAACTACCCCGGGCCAGGCATGGGCCCAATGAACCCCATGGCAGGACAGGGTGGGGGACCGCCATATACTGGCATGCCTCCAGGAAGGATGCCCCCTAATCAAATGGGGCCACGTCCCTATGGCCCCAATATGGGTCCAAATATGGGCCCCAACATGGGTCCAAACATACCACCCAACATGGGCAACATGCCCCCCCAGGTAGGCTCAGGAATGTGTCCTCCTCCCGGCATGAACAGAAAGCCCCAGGACCCTGCGGCCATGCAGCACCCTGCAACCAACTCCATGCACAACAGGTTGGTTTATGCTGGATCCTCAAGTGCCTGCCTTTATTTACCTCACAGAGAACTCTGCAAAACTCCTGATTGATTTCTCACTTAAATGCTTAAATTACCTGTACCACTCTTGATTCACTATATAATGCTCATATTTTATCCTCTATCCAGGATGCCTGGTTACCCCAACATGTCTCCGGGCATGATGGGCTCCGGCCCACCCTATGGCCCTCCCATGAACAACATGCCTGGAATGATGAATACTCAAGGTGGATCACCTTATCCATTGGGGCCAAACATGCCCAATAACTCAAGTGGTAAGTTATTCAGTAATAACTGCAACTGGCTTTATTCACTTTTAATGTGGCAGTTTCATAGCTAATTCCTTGTCATTGTGTCTAGGCATGGCCCCCAGCCCAGAGGTGAACAATAAGATGAATAACAAAGTAGATGGGAGTGTAACACCCAAGCCAGAGCCCAAATCTAAGGTAACCTTTGCTTTATAAATATAGATTGTCACTATGTGTTGTAACAACAGTATTTTTGAAAATCACCTAAAATGTCTTCTCTTGGTGTAGCTGTAGAATTTCAACATCGAATTTTAAAATTGGTTTCTCATTTCTCTTGCGCAAAACAGAAGTCCAACTCTTCCACCACAACGAATGAAAAGATAACACGCCTGTATGAGTTAGGACCAGAGCCAGACAGGAAGATGTGGGTGGACCATTATTTGGCCTTCATTGAAGAGAAAGCCATGCCCATGACCAACCTGCCCGCTGTGGGACGCAAACCCCTCGACCTCTTCCGGTTGTATATGTCAGTTAAAGAGATCGGAGGCATGACACAGGTTAATATGGCATTAATTAACAACAATACATTCCAGTGCACTTATTGCTTCTTTCATTGTAATCTTTATTCTAAATATGTCATGTGTCTCCCAGGTGAATAAGAATAAGAAATGGCGTGATCTGGCCACTTCCCTGAATGTGGGTACATCCAGCAGTGCTGCCAGTTCTTTAAAGAAACAGTACATCCAGTGTCTGTACGCGTTTGAGTGTAAAGTTGAGCGTGGTGAGGATCCTCCTCCTGAGATTTTTACTGACAACAAAAAGAACCAAGCTGCTAAAGTCCAGCCCCCCTCTCCAGGTTAGAGCCATACTCATACCAGCTTTTGAAATTAACACGTGTTTCAGTGCAGTTCCCATTCAGTAACCCACATCTGCTCACTTTAAAACCAACAAAAATACATAACTTGCTATCCTTGAGTGTCACTAATCATGTACCATGTCTGTTTGCTCCTCTCTTATTTCAAACTGAAGCGTCCCTCTGCTCCACAGCTGGGTCTGGCTCTTTGCAGGGTCCTCAGACACCCCAGTCCACCAGCAGCTCCATGGCTGAGGGGGGAGACCTAAAACCTCCCACCCCAGCCTCCACTCCTCATACCCAGATGCCCCCTATGCCACCTGGGTCCAGGTGACTCTTTAAACACCAGATTTTAATCTTTTGATTCTAAAAGATCTTTTTAATGAGATAAACTAATTTCTTTCTGCCTGCCTCTCTTTCTGTCTCTCCCACTTATCTCCTAATTTCCACTCCCCCTCATCTCTGCTTCTCTGTAGGAGCAGCGTTAACCTGCAGGACCCCTTCTCTGAGGGAAATGACCCTGCTTTCCCTAGGAAGAACATGACGCCCAACTCCGCCTATCAGTCTGGCATGAACACACCAGACATGCAAGGGCGCATGGGCACCTACGAACCCAACAAGGACCCCTTTAGTAACATGCGGAAAGGTGGGCACACTGAAATGGCGAGAGCTGAATGAATCACGTTATCCTAGAAACTAAAGTACTTCCTTAATTACCTGGTCATTTAATCACTTCTAACTGGGTTTAAATTCTGAATGCATTTCCAGTCGGGGAGCAGTTTCTACCTGCTAACCAGGGCCCGAACAGTGTGGTGGGTGACCAACAGCAGCAGCAACCGCCGCAACAGCAGCAGCAGCAGCAGCAGCAGCAAGCAGCAGCCTCCATTCAACAGGGGACCGCCAGGAGCCATGGGCACAATGCCAATGGGGCCCAGACAGCAGTATCCTTATGGACCAGGCTACGACAGGAGGTAAAACTCACTGAATGGAAGATGGAATTTTCAAGGTCATTAAACACCGCTGATTATAACCAGCAGCTATTTTTATGATCAGCCAAACCTTAAAGTTCCTATGCAGATCAGGGAAGGTATGTCTAACTAATAACTTTCATTATGGAAGTTGATTACATTTGATTGAATTTTAAGAAATGCTTGGGAATTGGCACTGAGACTGGCTGGCTTCTTTCACACTTAACAATGCTTTTGAGTTGATAATGTACTGCCAGAGATCGTCATGGGTTTTTCTATGGAAACAAGAACCTGAACACATCTGACAAAAGACAAAAAGTTGTGTTTTGAAAAGGAAGATGTGGTTGAAATGTGGTACATGTCATGTTTCTGTCATATCTCCATCCTGTGAGTCCACTTTACTCTATATTGTTTATGGACTAGTAAACTTTTTTTTACTGCAGTATTCATTCATTTATTATCCATGTTAATTTGTAATGTTGCTCACTGACATCAGATTACTGTTATTTTGTCTTTGTGTTAGAAGAGGGCCTGTGCAAAGTGTTTGTGCTGCTTTAAAAAATAGAAATAAATTGCACAATTAAAGGTCAGATTCTACATTTAATATTCGGGATATTATTATTTCGATGATTGTGATTTAAATGTGGTTATGGCTGAGCTGTAGTACTCACAAGCTTAGGAGCCAGATAACAAAAATGGAAAAACAAGATTTGGCAAGTAGCTGATCAAATTGCAACCAAAGTATTGTGTTTAAGTTGTAAGTGTAACATTTGTTATCCTATTGTTTTTTTGTTTGTTTTTTACAAGCTTTTCCATCATTTGAATATTTTTGTGTAGGAAAATATGGAAAAATATACCATATGTATTTCCTTGATTTTTTTATTTTTTTAATTAATTTATTTATTTTTTCCCCAGATCGGAGCAAGGAATGGGCCCAGAGGGCAACATGGGATCCGGTGCTCCTCAGCCAAACCCTATGATGCCTGCCAACGCCGACACGGGGATGTATTCGCCAAATCGCTTCCCACCACAACAGCCACGGTCAGTTCACATAGCACATATTTGCCAAGCTTCTTGGGTTTGAAGCTACTGTTGATGGAAACTGAATATTCTTCACAAAAAACAAATGCATTGCATGTTGGACTCTAAGGTTTCATAAATGCTGGAAATGTATAAGAGTTATTTATTGTTGTTTAAAGATAACCCAATGTCATTTCACATTATTTCGATATTTCTTATTTTGACAAATATTCATCAGCACATGATCACATCATGAATGTTTGAATTGTGTTGTTGCTTTATGGGTAAAGTATTCACTCCTAGTCTTACTTTAGTCTTTGCTCTTTGGTTTGGGTTTATTGTGCTGATGTAAGCACAGGCCGACTTGCACTGATTGGAATTTCCTTTCAATTTGAAATGTTTATCCCATTTTTAAAGTGTCCATACCAAGTAGTAAGCAGCACATTTAACAAAAAAAGCTGGATATTTATGTTCTGGATTCACATTTAGCCTTCATATTTAATAGAGGTTATTGGTGCATAGGAAAAATAATGAATCATATTAATAAAAGAGAGACAGGTATAATAAGATTTGGTATTTTGTAATAGTGTGAAGCTGTAAACAAAAAGAAACCGTTGCAAATGGATGTCTTTTGGTTGTAACTTCATCATTATATGCCATAAGGTTGGCTGTGTATATCTGTAAATGTGTAACAGTTCATCCAGTGAGTTAAAGATGCAGAATATTTTCATGGTCAAACTGACAATCCCTAATATTTGCAGGCATGATTCCTATGGTAATCAGTATCCTGGACAGGGAACGCCCCCTACTGGCTCCTACCCAAATCAGCAGCCTGGAATGTACCCACAACAACAACAGGTCAATGATCCATCTGCACTACACTAACTCTCACTATGTACCACTGGAACCTAATGTCTGAGTGTTTTTATTGTTTTAATATATTTTTATGTGTATGTATATTGTGTGTTGTTTGAGCAGAAAAGTGTTACGAGTCCATGTACTTATAATTATGTCTCTCTGTACCTTTTTTTTTTATTTTTATTTTTTTATGTGTAGAGTTACAAGCGTCCTGTGGAAGGGGGTTATCCTCCATCAAAACGTCATGAGACAGAGTACACTGGGCCCTTCCATGGTGGACAGCAACCACCACAGCAACAACAACAGCAAGGAGGTGCCTCTGCACCCTCTTCAGGACAGCAGGAGACGTACAATCAGTACAGCGGCAGTGGGCCCTACCCCGGCTCTGATCGCCGTCCACCTGGTCCAGGCAATCAGTTCCCCTTTCCATTTGGTCGTGAACGAATGCAGGGAGCGACAGGACCCAACACTCAGCCCAACATGCCCCCTCAGATGATGCAGTCAGGCCCTGAGGGTCCTCAGGGAGGTATGTGGCAGGGGCCACGAGACATGAACTATCAGAACTACCCCAACCGGCAGGGTGGCCCTGGGGGCCCACCACAGGGACCTGGTTACCCTGGCATGAACCGCTCAGAGGAGATGATGTCATCAGAACAGCGCATGAATCATGATGGCCAGTGGGGAAGTCAGATGGGTCCACGGCAGCCTCCTTATGGTCCAGCAGGACCTGGCCAACCTATGCCTCGTTCAGTACAGTCAAACTACCAGCCCCCTCAGGGTGTGCAGAACCACATTCCACAGGTGTCCAGCCCAGCCTCCATGCCCCGCCCCATGGAGAGCAGGACATCACCTAGTAAATCTACCTATATGCACGGAGTAATGAAGATGCAGAAGGCCGGCCCTCCAGTGCCTGCATCTCACATAGTGCCCCCTCCGGTGCAGTCGCCTTTGATAAGGCGAGACATGCCTTTTCCCCCGGGCTCGATAGAAGCTTCGCATCCTGTCCTGAAACCACGTCGGAGACTCACAGTAAAAGATATCGGTATGACTATAGATTGAATATCATCTTGTGACAGACTTTCTTTATTGACAGACCTGCTCAGTGTTGCTCAGTCCACCAATATTGTTCCAAGTTGCTGCTTAGAGTATTTGGTACCAATTATGTTTTTTGTTTTGACTTCTTAGGAACTCCTGAGGCCTGGAGAGTCATGATGTCATTAAAGTCTGGTTTATTGGCTGAGAGTACGTGGGCCTTAGATACCATCAACATCCTCCTGTATGATGACAACAGTATTTCCACCTTTGATCTAAACACGGTGAGACTTAACACTGAGCCCTTAATGATAGTTTATAACGCACTGTACATAGTTATCATGTCTAATATTTTCTATATTTATGGTCTTTCTTCAGTTGCCTGGCCTACTAGAGTTGGTGGTTGAGTATTTCAGACGCTGCCTCATTGAAATCTTTGGCATTCTGCGGGAGTATGAGGTGGGAGACCCTGGCCAGAGGACACTACTTGATCCTGATGCCTTGAAACGAGACTGGGAAAGCACAGAAGAAGAGGAAACACAGGCTGAGGACATGGAACAAGAGGAAGAAGATGACGAAGAAGAGGAGGAACGGGAAACGGAGGGGCCAGCTCATGTAAAAGAGGAGGAAGAGCAAGAGCAGTGCTCGGAGTCTCGGGGGCGGGATGAGAAGACAGAAGATGAGCAGAGGAAGAGCAAAGGTTCTTCATCTGAACAGACAGGCTCATCACAATCCTTAGCTGCCCACGAGAGACCCAAACAAGCCAGCAAGTTTGACAAGTTTCCCCTAAAAGTGGTACGAAAGAAAGACCCATTTGTGGCAGGCCAGTCCAATAATCACGGTAAAATGCAAGAGTTTGACAGCGGGTTGATTCATTGGAGTGCTGGAGGGGGAGACTCAACAGAACACATCCAGACTCACTTTGAACCACGCAAAGACTTCTTGGAACCACGTGAACGAATACCTGTGCCCCCAATTTTGCTGAGGCGACGAGTCCCAGAAGAAGAGATACAGGAAAGTTGTTTGCCCACTGAGGAAGAGAAAAGGAAGCCTCAGGATGAAGAAGAAAGGCCCAAAGAGACATCTTCCTCAGAGGAAGCAGCGGTCTCAGAGAAGGCCAGTCCCTCACTCAGCAGTGAGGAGGAGAGGAAAACTGATTCTGAGGCAAAGACAGTTGAGAAAGGTGAAAAGAGTCACCAGGAGAATAATAGACCCATTATTTCCCCCGACAGTGTTTTAGTCCAGAAGGCAAAGCAGACTGGCACCATCCTGGAGGATGAGCCCCACAGTAAAGACGAGGGGCCGCTCATTGCACTGGCTAACTGGCAGGATTCTTTAGCCCGTCGCTGCATATGTGTGTCCAATATTGTCCGCAGCCTCTCCTTTGTGCCAGGCAATGACCACGAGATGTCCAAACATCCAGGGCTGCTACTGCTACTGGGACGCCTGATCCTGCTTCACCACAGGCACCCTGAGCGCAAACAGGCGCCGCTAACCTACGAGAAAGATGAGGATTCAGAAGAGGGAATGGGCCAAAGGGATGAATGGTGGTGGGACTGCTTGGGGCTCCTGAGGGAGAACACGCTGGTCACTTTGGCAAACATCTCAGGCCAACTCGATCTCTCCATATACCCCGAGAGCATCTGCTTGCCTCTGTTGGATGGTCTTCTCCACTGGGCTGTCTGCCCCTCAGCAGAGGCCCAGGACCCCTTCCCCACCCTGGGTCCTCACAGTGCTTTGTCACCTCAGAGACTGGTCCTGGAGACGCTAAGCAAACTAAGCATCCAAGACAACAATGTGGACCTCATCTTGGCCACTCCGCCATTCAGTCGGTTGGAGAAGCTATACGGGAACCTGGTGCGGCTAATCGGAGACAGGAAGATTGCAGTCTGCAGGGAGATGGCCGTGGTCCTACTGGCAAACCTCGCCCAGGGTGATACTATGGCAGCCCGATCAATCGCTGTTCAGAAAGGCAGTGTGGGCAACTTGCTGGGCTTCCTGGAGGATAGTCTGGCTGCCACACAGCTTCAGCAGAGCCAAAGCTCTCTACTACACCTTCAGGGGATGCACTTCGAGCCCACAAGCCCGGACATGATGCGGCGAGCTGCCCGGGCTCTGCACGCCTTAGCCAAGGTGGAGGAGAACCACTCAGAGTTCACACTACATGAGTCCCGACTCCTCGACCTTTCAGTGTCCCCCCTAATGAACTCGCTGGTTTCTCATGTTATCTGTGATGTACTCTTTTTGATTGGCCAGTCATGACAGCTGTAGGGAGCCGTGGCTCCACTTTTTGGGGGTTTTATCCCCAATCCCCTCTTACCTGGAAGCCTGGCTTGTGTGTGTAACAGGGCAAGCAAAGTTCAAGTGACTGTCTTTAATTTATGAAAATCCTTCAGATTCCATTCTCTGAACCCTCCCCAGGCCGTCCTTGCTGGAGGAGGGTTATCACAGAGCTGTGGTGGATTACAAACCAGAGAGATGCCCACAAAGTGACACTACTTGCAACATGAATGCCAACTGGATGACACAGAGCAGAGCACCACGGTTGGGAGACTGTTCTGCACTTGGGGGAAAGTACTTTTTATTAAAGATAAATAAATGAATAAATAAATAAATAGCTGAAAAACAAAAACTGTAACCAAAGTTGCTGTCTCGTTTACAGTGAGTTTGGGAGACACAGTGTGCCCTAGCTCTCCCCTCGAGGGCACAATGAGTCTGTAAGTGGTTGACGTTCAGAGGTGAAGCAGACTGACAAGTGGCCTACTGGTTATAGTTGCTGTAGTTGGATTTTCACCAGTCAGCCCAACAGTAGACTAAGTGCTGTCAATAGACACCTTCACCGGGGAGGCCTGTGCAGTGTGCAGTAGATTGTAGGACATTTTCTGTACCGTACTGCTCTTGAGTGTAAGCATTCTGTAACACACGTTTCACACAGAGGCAGAAGATGCAGCTCTTCTAGAGTTTTGAGGTCATTTTAGTTTGGTGTTAAACAGAAAATGGCTTTCTTCCCCAAAGTATCAAGAACCTACAACACCCTTACCTCCTCTTATCCCTTGATTGTATGAATACCCATATGAAAAGAAATCACCTCTTAGGACTGGTTTTCAACTTCAAATACAGCTTTGCTGTGGTGTATATATAATGTTGTACATTACACTTCCTTTCTCTGTGTCTGTCTCTGTCTGTGTCACTATTCTCACACTTGTTATCGGTGAGGGATTGAGGCTGACATGTGAGTTTGGTCTGTGACCTCCAGTCCCCGCTGATTAGACCCACTCCTCTGGTCTCTCCACAGCTCCGTAGTACAGCAGACACGGCTCGAACCTGTTATCTCCTGGTACAACAAAAATAAACTAGATGAAGTACACATTTGACAATTTTTCTTCAGTCATGGATTCTGCATATTTGTATTTCAGACTATGTAGCTAAGACAACATGTAAATTCCTCCCTTTCCCTTTTTTGGCTCAATGAATATCATTTATTCAGTATGAAATCTTTATACTATATGTTCCACGTGGTAAGAATAAATGTACATTAAATCTTCGTAAGCTGTTTGATGGTTTTGTTCTTCTGGAATAATCACCTCTACTGGACAAACAAATCAAACAAATATGTGAATTCCCACAAATTAGGTTCAAAAGAATTTCTGAAATACATGTCTTTGCCTCAGTGCTCAGGAAGCATGTAGGAAACATGGTCTTACTCAGTGGACTCATTGCTGATACATATTCACTGTTTGCATTAGGTTTATCACAGTTTCTATGTTTGAGTAAAATAACTGTGTGAATGGAAAAAAAAAACTACATCTGTCAGTGTCTCTGACTTCACAGGCTTGAAGCTTGAAGGAGGACTGCACATAGGCTTTCTGTTTGTATTAATGCTGTATCAATGGGACCAACCAGAAATAATGGGTAAAAGAACAGTTCGTGCACATTTAAAATCACACATATGAGCTTACTTACAAAGCCAAGTGTAAAAATATGCACCTTAAATCCGAGCAAGTTCAATTTTAATTGACTGAAGACACTAAAGATGGGCAAAAACAATGTTTTCACATTTCCTGAGCGAAGAATAACCGCAGACCTGAGAGATCAGTCCATAAGTCGGAGTGGAGCGCCTCCTGCTGGAGAGAAAACACATTTCACCCGATTTAACATAAAACCTTACTTACTAAGCAGACGTAAGGTTGTAAATCAATCATTGTTTAATCAATTAAAGCTAAACTATAAATCTTTTGATACATAAATAAAATAAAATACAACCATTGCAGGAGAAACTACGAACTCTCCTCCTCTGAGCCAGTCAATGATCTGAGCCCATGAGCTTTTATTTTGACATTCGTGTTGCGGTTACACCGGAAGTGAAAAGTGCCTTTCGAAAGGCTGCAGCAGGAGGAGGATGAGAGGAGGACAAAGATTGCACCTGACGGAAAAACAAACGCTGCTAGAAGACGGCTGGCTCTCTACCACAATCACTGTTTACCCTCTGCTAACTGCTGTCAACCCAATGAAAACCCGGAGCTCACAAGATCTCCTTTGCCGAACAGTTTTTTTCTAGCCAGCTATGTTTGATAGAGAATATGACGGATCCAGCAGTGACTGTGTTGTAGCAGCGACAATGCTCGGGCCTGTCATCACCGGCTTGTTCACATTGTGTCCGTCGCATCAATGACCATGGATGTCAGAGCAGTGCTGGAGTTTGCCACAGTCACCAGGGGTCTGTCGCTGTTCCTGCAGGTAAATGTTTAGGCAAGTCCGGGATGTTGTGGATCTTAACAATATGCTAAACTAGCCCCAGTTTGTAGCTCTAACCTTATGACAGGTGTTGGGCTTAATTTCCCCTGATGTTTAAGTCACCTTGGCCATTAGCTATGTGTTTCTGTGTGGTAGCTAATGAATAGTGCTCAGGGGAATACATACTGTAGTGTGGTAAGAAGGTTACAGACAAACTCACTGTACACCTGTGTGGTTGTTTCTCTGTGCAGCAAAAAGCTCTTTTTATGATGGCAGGATTTATTTTAACATTGTAAAATATTTCTCCTCAGGCTGTCTTGAATGCTGCCATCCCTGACCACGATGCTGATGCGTTCAGGCCACCCCGGACAGAGGAGCCTCTGTACTTGGACTCTGCAGTGGAGTGGTTGTTCGGTGGCCTCTCCCACTGGGATGCTGAGCATTTCCTCTTTATCGCTGAGAGAGGATACCTGTACGAGCACAATTTTGCTTTCTTCCCCCTCTTCCCTGTCGTGCTCCGAGGCCTGGCAGAGACACTGCTGTGGCCCCTGAGCAGCTGGCTGAGCGTGCGGGGGCGTTTGCTGGTAGCTGTGGCTCTGGGGAACAGTGCCCTCTTCCTGCTGAGTGTGGTCGCTTTGCATGCGCTCAGTAGAAAAGTGCTTCAGGACAGACGCCTCGCTCTGCTCTCCAGCCTGCTCTACTGCATCACACCTGCCAATGTTTTCATGACCGCTGGATACTCAGAGAGCCTGTTTGCTGCGCTCACATTTGGTGGTCTGTTCCTCCTGGAGAAAGGATTCACCCTCCGGGCCTGCCTGGCCCTCAGTATAGCCACTGCAGCACGATCCAATGGACTTGTTAACATTGGGTTTCTGCTGTATCTTCCATCACTGCACGCTATCTCTCAAATACGGGTTTATCGAACGACGACAAAAGGCCACTTTAAAGTCTTCCACTATATTTGGGTCATCATCCGCCTCCTGCTCACTTCCCTCTTGGGAACCGCAATCATTGCCCTTCCCTTCTGTGCTTTCCAGTACTATGGTTACAGGACGTTCTGCACGCCGTCCGTCTCCTTGGAACGGATCCCCCCTGCTCTTTTGTCGCTGGCTGAGCGGAAGGGCTACCGGGTTCCAGATGAAAATGGTCCACCGCCACTCTGGTGCATGAGACCCCTCCCCTTGCTTTACTCTCATATCCAGGATGTGTATTGGGATGTGGGATTCCTCCGCTACTTTGAGCTGAAGCAGATACCAAACTTTATTCTGGCTCTACCTATGGCTACCCTCGGGATAATGGCAGCTTATGCATATTTTCAAGCTAACCCAGAACTGTGTCTGAGACTTGGACTTTGGGAGACAGGTGCAAATAAAGGGCTGGACAAACCCATACCAGGACTGTTCAACCCCAGAGTGTTTGTGTATGTTGTACATTCAACAGTACTTCTGGTGTTTGGGACATTATGCATGCACGTGCAGGTAAGTAAATCAAATAACCACCTTTTTTCTGGAACATTTAACCTGCTGTTAATTTCCACTCATTCCCATTTTTAACCTACTTTTCTAGGTTCTGACCAGATTCATGGCTTCCTCGTCTCCTGTGCCCTTCTGGATAAGTGCTCATCTGCTCCTCCTCAATGAACCACTTCTCCATCGAAGGAAAACATCAAACCCGAGCATACAGCTACAGACACATTCCAGAAATGGATGCAATCACACACCTCAAAACCCCATCATTGCTCTGCTGCCATACTTTACAACCTGTTCTCCTACCACACAGAGCATCTTGGGATACTTCCTCTCTTACTGGGTGCTGGGCCTCGCACTGCATTGTAACTTCTTGCCATGGACATGACTTAAAACGTTTTCTCTGAGCTTTAAATGCAATATTTCTATGTAGGACTGGGCTATATACCATATTTTAAATGATATGAATCTGCACATAGGTGTTTTTACAGTTCATCAATAGTCAATTTTCGTTATTCCAGTAATTGTTCAATTGTATACTTGAATGCAACATTTTGTCAATGTCACATTTATTTAAAAAAAAAAAAAGATAATATGATTATGTCGCCCAGTCTTACATATAACTTATTGACATGATTACATTTTTGATGCCAATTTATTCATGCAATAGTCAGCAAATTTGATTTGCACTTCTCCTTGAAATGTGTTTGCAGCCATTTTAGAACAACCTCATGTGTACAATATACCTGAAACTTTATTCAACACTGTTTAGTTGTAAATCTTGGGAAAGACTATGGTGGTACTTGAAAAACTATATTTTTATTTCTTGCTGAAGCATTACATTTTATTTACTCTGTTTAGTATTGCACTGCATGTTTGGAAGACTTCAAGTTATAGTTTGAATGGAAAAAAATAAAGATTTTGTTGCTGTAAAAGGACCCTCAATTTAGTTTTCTTGAGGCATTAATGTAAAACAGCTCTGTTGGGTTTTCTTGTAAACACGTTCAAATTCTAATATATGTACATCAAATGTCTGCTAATTTGTTCTCACAAAATATTTTCTCTCTCTCTTTATACAGTGTAAGAACAGTGTTGTTGTGTTTTTTCATGGTTTACTTACAAAACATCCTTTGCAGCACAGTAATTGGCACAGACGTGGAGTGCTGATCTCTCTATCCCTGACTTTAGCAGATATCTCTTTGGGATATGACCACCAGAGGTTGCTGTTACTCAAACAAGATAATGCACCACCTAACACTTCAGAATTTTCTTTAGGGACGTTTTATGGAGAAACAAACATCCTAAAAACTAGGGATGCACAGTATGAGTTTTTCTTTCAGCTAACAATAACAATAATTAACATTAATTACCTGCTTCTAATGACCAATATTGATAAGATAACTGATAATTTCACATCTTTGCACTTTAAAAACAAGTGTATAACCTGTTTTTTTTACACCATATAGTAAGAAAGGCTAAGATGTAGTGAGCAAAGATGGATGATTTAATATTCAATAGCTCCGACCTAACAAAATCTGACCACTATTTTAAACAACAAAAACAACAACAGTTCTGTTGTCGAACTACTCTTCAAATGTTCATTTATTTTTTCTAGTAAGAACAAGAACAAAAAACTTACCAAACATACTTTGGCTTTCTTAGAACATAAGAATATATTAAATAATTTAAAATATATTATTATCCATCGAGAATTTATCAGCTTATTATCAGAATTATACATATAAATATACATTTGTACATTTGTGAAATAGTTTCCACTGAAAGTGTTTCTCTGGTGGACAATACAATTAGTTTTGGCTTGTACAGAATAAATATTTTGAGTCTAAATGTGTTGACATGTTTTCACATGGCTTAAACAGAGTCTTGAAAATGATTGTGCTATAAAGAGAACAGCTCTACTGCAGGCATTAACTCATTAGTATCAAAGGTTGCACAAACTCACCACATTCCTAGAATAACAAGGTTGGAAACACTCAATAAACATCACAGCTGATATGCACACAGAACACTGGCCTTGTAATCAAACACCTCAAACAGTGAGCCCATCACATGTTAAGCATCACAGGTTCTGAAAGCACCCATGGTGACACTGTGTGCATTGTGGCCCCTTAAGTCGATGGTTGGTTGATAAAATTCAGGGTTACTTAATGGAATCAGTCCTGCAGATCTCATTAAACACTTTATTAAGTTCCAACTGATGTGATTAAGGATTTATTACCAGTTTACTTATAAACAAAATAAACACTGAACATGTTACCAGCTTATTAGATAAGAGCAGTTATCAGAGGTCTCTATCTGTTTGCCACTTTGCTCATATACAATGTACTAGCCTGACTAACTATCTGGGGTCTAGACACTTTATAGGTAAATGTAATTGAATCTTCAACTTCATCTCTTCCAATCAGACCCTATAAACAGCCTACAAAAAATACTGTTGACATGAGCTCAGAGCACCAAATGGTAGCTATTGCCCTGAACTGGAGCAACAGAACAGCATCAAAGTTACATATTGATTTAACTTATTTCACTTGTTTGCAATGAGTTGTTATACTTTCTATGTGGGCTTTAATTAATCAATATGGGAGAACCACAGCACATCTAGCTACCAATCTAAACAGATACTCAGTGAGCATGCGCTGGTGTTTGCCACAAACCATCTTCTTACTTTTTTTTTTTTTTACTTTCAAAGTCATCTTTATTGCAAAAAGAAGTTTACAATTCAGACGTGACTTACAGAAATATATATATATGTAACAGTAAACAAACATATAAAATACAACACACAAAGAGAAATAAAGTGTTGCCAGGAGAAGCTTACATGTTATTAAAAAGAGAAAGATGACCATATGTTGACAGTTTTAACCGCCTTTTTGTTGTTGGAGCCAGAAATCAAATTAATATAATGTACAACTTCATGGAAAAAAGGTACAAAATTAGTTTTTTTACAGTTGAACTTTGCCAACAGAATTAATACATTTATAATGAAGTACATATTTTCTTTACTTTGACTCCTATAAAAGCAAAATACCACATTCTCCCACAACAAGGCAAAGTCTTTATAAATATGGTCAATGATGAATCTGCTGAAGTTTTGCCAAAGACTGGGTGGTCTTCACAAAAAGAACAGTTTGTATTGATGTCTCTGTTAAATGTAACCCTGTAATGATTAGCAGGGTAATATCTGTGAATTATTCTCAACGACTTGTTTACTATCAGCTATCTGTGAGGAATCATCCAAACCTTTTTCCAGTCAATGTCGAAACCATCTCCTTACTTACAGCTGATGCGTTTGTGTCGTTATACGTCAGCGGTGAGTCTGCGCAGTATTCGCTACCCACATTTACATCCGTGTACGTCAGCATCCTCTCCGTGACGTACATTGGCTGACGGCAAAAAAAAAAAAAAAAAAAAAAAAAAAAGGAAACGTGAAGTGCTGCAAGAAGCTTTGAGCCGAAGTCCGTCTGCTTGTGTTCAATTATTGATAACAAAAAAGGCGAGTAACAACCAAAGGAGTACTGGTATTAATTAATGGCTTTAATTTAACCACCAAAGATGGTAGTTAACCTTGAGTCAACCCGGGAACTGATTCAACACGTAAAGCTCAGCTGCGGAGAAGAATGCCTTTGCTGGGTCGCTAGCTAGCTAGCGTTAGCTTTCAGGATGGGCAACTGAACGCTAACCGGAACCAGAATAAAAATATATATCACTGTACAATGACAGAATTTTGAGAGTACTGTCTCTCGAAAACGCGGCGAGAAAAGAGAGTTTCGTGTGTGCCTTTTAGCTACCTCCGAACCGTGTCGGTACTGTTTACATGATGAAGAACTGCGAGTACCAGCAGATCGACCCACGGGCGCTGTCGGTGTCGCCGTCGTCCGCACAGAACCACACCGAGAAGAGAGTGCAGCGGCCGCGGAGGAAATGGGAAGTGTTCCCGGGGAAGAACCGGTTCTACTGCGACGGGCGGATCATCCTGGCCAGACAGAGCGGTGTCCTTCCTCTGACACTGGGCCTTATTGTTGTCACATGTGGCCTTTTCTTTGCATTCGAGTGAGTAAAATTGTTTCTTTCCAGTGAGCCCTGAATGCAACACGCATGTGGAAGTTGTAAATTCCTTATTCCTCATTTTTGTGTATTTCAAACGCTGTTTTGTGGCAATATACTTTTTTTAAAAATAAGACAGACTGAAACAAACTGGTCTTTTTCTTTTACAGTTGCCCATTCCTGGTGAAACATCTGACCGTCTTCATACCTGTGATCGGTGGGGTGCTTTTTGTGTTTGTGGTCCTCTCCCTGTTGAGAACCAGCTTTACAGATCCAGGCATTTTACCTAGGGCCACCCCAGATGAAGCGGCAGACGTAGAGAAGCAGATAGGTAAGGCAACCCTGGAATTGCATGCTGACCGTGGGACAGATGGGGTAAAAGAGCTTTGCCATACTGGGGATCTTTGAGGGACGTGTTTGTCTTGGAACTGCAGACCTAAGCAGCTTATCATGGTTGAAGAGGAAAAAAAACCCAGACATAGCTTTATTTAAGTTTATATATTCCTTATTATATCATTGGACTGCTTCTTGTGTGAACTGTTTTGATCAGATGCGCAGGTCTCAGTCAGTCTCTCCACATGTACTTCTCTATTTTAAGATACCTCAGGATCATCTACGTATCGCCCCCCTCCGCGAACCAAGGAGATCCTCATCAACCAGCAGGTGGTAAAGCTCAAATACTGCTTCACTTGTAAAACGTTCCGCCCTCCTCGGACCTCCCATTGCAGCCTGTGTGACAACTGTGTTGGTAAGGATTTGGCAGGAAGTTTCTACTTATTTCAACTGTTCTAATTTAACTTAACAACTTAACGTCATTGCCAAGAGGAACATACTACACTGCTTAACTTCCTAGATTATCCCACTGGTCTGTGTATTCAATTTATGATGCTTAGATGTAACAAAATCCAAACGGTGAAACTATAATTCAATACTCTTACCTTAGACTAAGACTTCCAATGAGTTCTGGCAGTTTTCAGGAGCAGGATCTTGGCACTTGGCTATAAAGTGGGTCTTCTTTAAAGCGTTAGGTCATCATTTGGCAAGATGGAGCAAAACCATTCTTTGCAGGTTGAGACTGCAGACTGCGTCTCTTTTGCCAGCCGGAAAGGTCTGTCCTGATAAAGGAGAGAGTCAATTCTTTTGAGGTGTGCTTTTTAAACTCTCTATGCTCTCTACATTCCTTCCTAACATGCCTCCAGTGGAAAAGATGAAGGACAAAATCCGCAGTGCAAAAATGTACCAAAGTTCAACTGAAGCCAGCATGACGCTTCAGCTCTCTGAGTTAATCAAATCTAACAAAGTTATAATATTTTTAGTACAAAGGCTTCTCTTTGTCTGTCCCCTGACAGTGTTTATTTCTGGGCTGTTGTTGAGGGAAAGTAATATAAAGAGGGAATTTCATCCTAAAAAGTCTGTAATTTTGGACTTGATTAATCTTACTCAGACTCCTGAAGCCCCAAATTACGTTTAGCTAAACTTTGGAATTTGTTTTTGCACAGAACAAGGAGTGTGGATTTTGTCCCTCCCATTACTTGCACTGGTATTGCTTTAGGATGGGATCTCTTTATGGGCCAGTATGAACAGGATGAATTATTACAGCATGGAAACAAAGCAAAATTACAATTAGATGAAAGTGCTGTATTAACTTTGGGGTAGGAGTGATAGTATTTTTCTAATAATTTGATATACAACATGTCATGTATACTTTACAACTGCTATAAATGTGCCTCTAATCTCTGGTATGTGTACTTTTCTTTCACCCTCAGAACGATTTGATCACCACTGCCCATGGGTGGGGAACTGTGTGGGCAAACGCAATTACCGCTTTTTCTACAGCTTCATCATCTCTCTGTCTTTTCTGACATCTTTCATATTTGGCTGTGTCATCACACACATTACCCTGCGTAAGTACTCTAACTCTGTATAAAGACACAAACACATACGGCAGTTGTAACTTTTAAGGTTACTTTGTTTCTAATTTGTACTTTATCTCTTCAGGTTCTCAAGCAGGTAAAAGCCTTGTTCAAGCCATTCAGGAGAGTCCTGCCAGATATCCTTTGTATGTACCAAATTGTCACATAATCATCCTTTTTATGAGATGGATGAGATCTTTTAAAATTTGCTCCTGTTTTGTGCCAAGAAATGACACAAGTTACACTGTTGACAAGGCATTTCCCACTGCTACTCAGCCTAAGCTCATGCCTAATAGGATCAGAGAGTTAGCATCCAGCAAAGCAGTGCTTTTAGGCAGATGGCCTCCAGTAGAAGGTTTGCTGCCTCATGTCCATGTGAGATGATCTCAGTGAGGGAACAAATATGGACTGCATGACTACAGAGTAGTTCAACCTATTATTCAGAGTGTGGGGTAATTTCCTCATTGTACGCATGACATGCATGACATTGTGTCATCTTGTTGGAGTGTGGGTGTCTGAATCTAGAAGGAATATGTTAACTTACTAGTTAGCAGATGAACTGATTGGATTTCTTTTTTAGCAGCTTATTGCATCAGTTTTCATATTAAAATGAATTCAATTCAATTTCAATTCAATTTTATTTGTATAGCGCCAATTCATAACAGAAGTTATCTCAGGACACTTTTCAAATAGAGCAGGTCTAGACCGAACTCTTTAAAACAAACAATTCATGAATCGCCTGTGACTATTAGGCTTTAAGTTTAACATGTTCACTCTGATGCATTACTCATCTCAAGAAAGTTCAAACTAATACAAACCAACAAGTAACTTAACACATTTCCTCAAGTGTTGACCTTAGTACAGTTTAGAGCTACTTGTGTTTTACTTAAGTTTACACCCAATATTCTAATATTGGAAAATGGTCTGCTGTGATGTGAAGGGTTTGTGTTATTCGTAGTACAGTGGCTTCAGAGTTCACATTGATAACATTATGTTAATGTTATTTTAACACGTGAAGACAAGGTAACATAAGATGGAAGCACCTCTTAAGGATGTTGTGCTTCATGCTGGAAAAAAGCAGACTAACCGTGGGAATAAGACTACTTAGGCACATATTAAGCCTTGTCATAGATTTTAATCATCAGCTTTAATTGCCCTCTGTGTTAAATAATCACACATACATAATTGTGTTATTATGATGCCTTGACTCTTCCTTGTGCACTGTGGTGGAGTTGGTGATATGTTTCTTCTCCATCTGGTCTATTCTGGGCCTCTCAGGCTTCCATACTTACTTAGTAGCCTCCAACCTCACAACAAATGAAGATGTAAGTACTCGTGCCCCTTTTTATATGATACAGTTCATTGTTAAAATGTGCTTTATTCACTAACTAACTGCTTACTTTTATTCATTCCCTGTGCAGATAAAGGGCTCCTGGTCAAGTAAGAGGGCTGCAGAGGAGTCTGGGAACCCGTACAGTTACAACAGTATTATAACCAACTGCTGTGTGACGTTATGTGGTCCCATGCCCCCAAGGTGAACATTTCCTTGATGATGGCATCAGTTACAGTACATGTACCGTCCATGTTAAAGTGCATCGTAACACAATTCTCCGTTTTGTTCTCTAGTCTGATTGACAGAAGAGGTTTTCTGCCTATTGACGAGGCAATCCCTGCTGCTTCTGCTTCGGAGATAGAGCTGCCTCCATTCGTGGCCAAGAATGACGCGCACATGGTAGGATGAACCAGCGTGTGGTCCCTCCCAAGTCCTGATTGTCCCATAGCTCCTGTGTTGTTGGTGTTAGGCCCCCCCCCCCGTGTGTGCCTTCTCCACTCTGTGTGTCCACTCCGTCATCCTCCAGACTTCCAGCTTCAGTCCCTCGACTAGAGTTGCCAACATGCAGTACATTGAATCTGTGTATTGTTTGTGACAACAGAAAGCCATACATGGATTTTTAAAAAGAAAGTGCCTATTAGGGAGTCTCTGACTGGACTGGATCGACATTACTAGGGTTCAGCTTACTATGGCTTGGAACTGACACACAATATAAAGCCAAGTATTCACAGCAGAAATGATTAAGCCGGCTAATTAGAGCTGGCGTTCAGCAGAAACGAGGTTATCTTTCACCATGCAGCATGCTGAAGTAACACTGCTGTGTCATGTGTTCGTTGAGCTTTTGAACAAAATGTCTTGGAAACCACCTGTAACACTGTTTGGCATCATTGAGCAGTTAAAAGTGCCAGAAAGTGAGCAGAGAGTTTTTCCAGCAAGAAATGTATCCATTTGTTAAGATTATAGTTGCTGAGTTACCCTGTCAGAATGCTGCAGATATATTATGCTCATTTGGTGCTGTGGGACAGTAAACATGTTGCACCATTTGATATTTGACTTGTATTTATGTTTGCTTACACTTAGGAATTGTATCTACCTCCTCGTTTCTGTACTACTGGGTTTGCTTGTATGTTTTGGTGAAGGTGTTATGGACTTAGGACTTAGGACATGCAAAATATTAGATCACATTTTGTAATTGATTTATCAGCACTTTATCACAGATCATTTGACACATGCCTTGAATACATTGTCACTCAATATGGTCGACATATCAAATGTCTTAAGTATATTATTAGATATATTGCTTCATTTTCTTAAATCCTCCTCTTCTATTTTTACATACACATTTTATTTAACTAAAAAGTATTCCTTTATGTGTTTAAATAAACATTATTTTTGTATTTTGGGTTTTGGTCTCTGTTTTGAGTTTACTTTACCTCTTCATTTTTTACATGTCCTCATGTGCTGATTTTAAGGTGTTTGGGAAAAGTGTTATTTTTTTAGGTTGTTTTATTTTGGTAGGTACAAGTCAGTGAACATATGGGTTTATTTGTTATGAACATTTGTTTCATGTGCCTGTTACTTCATTGCTTGATGAAAGATCTGACACACAGTGTTGTACTGTATCCATTCCACCCTGCTAGGAGGAGAACTGTCAGGATTTTGCTTTGTCCTGCACAGCCTGAAGGGCACTGCTGCATGTAGACGGTTGATGGTAAGAGTAGGGTTGAACGTTAAAAACAATCACAACATCTCTTCATTTGCCATTCACTGTGTCTTTTGTGTAGTTTGTGTTTAGGCTTGGAACCAGCCATCTTAACAGCTTTTTTTTTTCTTTTCTAAGATTTTTTTTTTTTTTTGCTCAAATGCAAACGCAGTTGGGGCAGATCTTGTGATTGGTGTGGATGGGTGGACTGCCCTACTTGTGAATGTGCATGCTTCACTACCATTCATCCTCTTGTCATTAACATTCGCTCACTCACTGTATGGGATGGAGCTCGTGTTCAAAGGCTGATAATCTTTCTCTTGTCCTTTTTGTAGTTAGATGAGATGTTTTTTTCCTCGTGTGTCTGGGTCATTATTGTGCATGCATGGTGACGCAAGCGCATACGAGTCTGCATAAACTGTATTTCCCTTTCTACTTTTTTATCAGAGCCAGAAGAAACACAGAAAGAAGCAGCTTTCCACACACATTTAATTGTTGCCTCATCTGCGTCTAACTCACTTCTTCCACGCTTCTTCATTTGAATCTTGTGACAATGCTGTCATCAGTGCTATCATTGCTTTCACTGTGCCTGAGTTCTAAACTAATCATTGTTATCACATTGCAGAATTTTCTTTCCCTGTTTGTCCTGTTTTTACCGTTCAGCCATTCGTGCCACAAACTTATGTATGGCACTTCTTTTTCCTGATTTCTCTATTTCTTTCCTCCTCCTCACACAGTGCACTCAGAGCACCAAGGACGTGCTGGAGAGGGTGGTCCACTCTTTTGACTATCAAGGCCTGTGCCCCACTGGCACCCCAAAGACCTCCCCTCTGGCCCTGGAGGTTTCCAGCACTGCAGCACCTTCCCCAGAAACTTCACCGTCCGCTGGCTGCTCCCGACAGCTCGCCCGCCATCCCGTGGCTGCTCCTTGTCCCCCGTTCAGCAGTAGCAACAAGAGGGACTCGCTGCACTCTATCAACCCAGCCTTCCGTCTGGCTTCTCCCTCCCCGTCGCTGAGCCGCACCACTTTAATTCTGGGTGATGCACCCGACATTGGCTTTATCCCACTACCCTGAGTGCACCCAGTAACCATAAGAGAACAGAAGGCGTCACAGTGCACTTGTCCTGCTATGCTCAACACTGTCCTGTATCACCTGCAATGTTTTTGGCTACAAAGAGACTCTTTAACAGTGGTGGTCATGCTGTGTGTTACCATTTGGTATTTTAAAATGTCATTCTGATGAGTTGATCAAGCATTACCTGGAGGGTTTTTACGTTCTGTGAGTTTTATCAACAATGTCCTACTATTCTGTTCTGTATGTGTCCTTCGCGATGGAGGTGAATCTTAGTAATACTTGGAAGCACAATATAGAGATATTTTTTTAAACACCTTTTTAAGAAGACACCCAGAACATGCCTCCACACCTTCCACTGAACCTCAAGCCATACATCACAGCTGTATTCTTTTAAGTTCATGCTAATATCTTATGCAAACAGGTCTTTAAATCTGGGAATCCTCACAGTGGGACTGTGGATGCAAGGCGTACAGAAACAGAAGCTTAGATTTACTAAACCTGTTCTGGATTGTGAGCCATTTCAGGATTATGAGCTCAACCTTATATCCTGTCATCTAGATCTACATCATCCCAGTGTCATCAGGTGGTTCCAGATCTACAGTATTTAGATGAATGAGTTTGAAGAGGAAGGGCAAGGTGCACTTATAATTTCATTTTGAATGTATGCATACCAAGGTTTTTTTGCTGTATTTTCTAATCGGTTCTTCATGTCTTGGTAAATATCGTTTCTTTTTGCAAGGTGCATCACTTAAGGAGACTATAAATAAAAGTGGAGACAGGTGAAGTTGAGTGAATTTACCCAGATATTTTTGACTGGATAATAACTGACTGAAATAGTTCCTCCACACATTATATAATGTCTACTTTGTTGCTTTATGTAATTTGTTGGATATCAAAGCCAAGTGTTTAATTTCAAATCACATTTAGCTGCTGCCTACCATGGCTTGGATTGCAGTATTTATTACGGACACACTGTTTCTTGTTAATGTGATCTACTGGGATGCTTACAGTATGACGAAGCATCTGTTTTTGTCATCATCATGTTGCCTGTCATGAGTGTGTTGGTGTTTGCAGCACAGGCTCGACGTATAGACCGCTTCAAGCAAAGTAATGTTTTAGGAATGTCGACGAGGCCTCTTCACACGCAGGGCGAGCGGTCGTTTTTGTGGCTGTGACCTTTTCGTCTTCTTACAGCATGAAACTTAACCCTCCATCTGTGATGGTGGAGTTCAATTTCTTGAGAGTAAATGGCAGGAGCTAGTTTGTGCCACTAGGGGGCAGCCTGTGAATAAGGATTGCGGCCTAGTCAGAACGCAATTGAGTAACATGAAAACCATTTTAAAAAAAAGGCCTTTTGATGTTTTATTTATTTTTTGTAAGTGAGCGTTGAAGCTGTACATAGGTTGTGAGTTTGTGAAGAACCACTTTGCCATAGTCAGTGGGTCTCACATTTATCAGTCTGCATCAAGACCCATAGGGTGTGTAAACAATTACAAGCAGTGCTTGTATGAGCAAACTTGTTTGTATTTTGTAGGATGTAACAGTGGAACTGTAACATTTGATCAATAAAAATGATCCGTTTTGTTGATGTGGGCTTCTTTGGAACTCTTTTACTTTTCTTTTTTTTTCAAATTTCCACCATTACAAAACATAAACTTACCATATAGAGGCTTACTAAGTCCATGGCAAAACCATGTGTTCACTTTACTGGAAGTGCAATGACTTAAAACAGACCAAGGTCAAAGTATAGTGTAGTACGTATAGTAAATCAGTGACAGTTGTGTTTATCCATTCTGACAGCTTCCTCCTGGAAACAATGAAGAGGTGCATGTTGACCACATGTGTTCAGACAGGCAGAGATCCACCATGAAAAGGGGTCTGTTTGTGTGTGTCTCACAGTTCAATCATGAGAAGATACAAAACAAATCGTGTTAGCTAATAAACCACAATGTCTAGGTTAACAAACCAGGTCGTGTACAGTACTATTCACCAGAAGGAAAACATAAAATAAAAAGATCTGTGAGTTTCATAACTCTCTCTGCTGTATCCTGCTTCTATGTGCCCAGAGATGCACTCCCACCTAATAACATTAAGTCTTTTGGACTGTGGTTTAGAGATATTTTTCCCCTTGTAAATAGCCATACAAAGTAGAATATCATCTTTCAGAGTGTGGTAAATTGTCTCCTTGCCATTGCTTATGACATGATATTTATTCTGTGCCCAGGGTTATCCTTTTTAAGAAGCCATTTTTGCCTGTAATTATTGAAATTGAAAACTGGAGAAAAATAGCCTGTAGGCCCGTGATCACAACGGATGGACCGTGGCAGCTGAGGTTGGAGTCTGACTGCATTCAGCAGTCACTACTGAGTGCAGAAAAGTGAGAACGTTGCTTAAAGGTCCTCCAAAATCTATTTTTTGGAAGCTTCTTTTTTTTTGAGGGGGTGTCTGCATGTGGCAGCTGATGCCTCCTGTATGCTAATGTTATTCGCTTTTCAAAGAGGATGCTTTGAATGTACAATTGTCTTGTATGTGTTGGTTTGGATGCAATAAAAAAAAAAAATCTTGATACAATTTTTACTGTTTTGCATGGGTTGACAGAGGGGGAAAAAGTAGGAAATACAAGTAGGAAAAAGGTGTTTGAAGGCAAACTCGTGTTAAAGCTCTGGCTGGATCCAGAACCTGCACAAGGGAACAGCATATGTGTCATGAAATATGATTACCTTAATGAATTCCTTAAGATTTGGACGTATCTGTTACCTCAGTTGACTTCATAACACCTCTCTCTGATACATGTCAATACAGCAACCTGTATATCTTAAGCTAAACATAAAACAGATGACCAGACTTTTGGCTCATGGTCTCACAGAAGGAGAAAAGCCAAAGCATCGCTGCCTCTGCAGCTGTGTTGCATTTTGACCACAGCCCTCCGTTGCCTAGAAGACTAAAAACTGTTAGCAGAAGAACAGAACTCTGAAAATAGGTTTCATTTCACAACAGCAGTAAAGGTACCAAGTCATCAGTGTGTACCGGGTTTATTTGTCAGCAGTGTTGATACAGGGATTATTTGAGTCCTCGCCGGCTGCAGGTGATTATTCGCTTGCTGGAGTGTGTCATGCACTTTAACCCCAACTGGTGTGGCACAGAGACAGAGAAGGCCACCCAGTCAGCAGGGGTGGGTTACCTGCTTTAGTGCTGGACTTCAGAATAAGAGGATGTATTTTAATCCAAAAGAAGTGATATAAGGCTACAGACTTTACATAGACTGAGTCTAGACAAACTTCATTGCCTAATGTGACACTTTTACTTGATTTCCTCCTCTTTTCTTGAAATGCATTAGTAATACACAGTTAGAGAACAGCCGGGAAAGCCACCTCTTTCACCTAAAACTAATATATTCCAGCTCTTTCAAAGAAATAGCCCACCACCAATTTACCTCAGACTGTCGTCTACTCTGTGATTCATCAAGCTCGTTCCTCTTCAGTGAGCCACGTTTGGCCCCTGCTGTCATGTGTGCAGCAGTGTGTCACACTCTCACAAGCCTTCTCCTCATCGCTCGCCTCTGACCAGAGCAGAAGTGAAGTACCTCCGTGAACAAAACAGGTGACTCACGGTCAGGGCTGCTGTCAACATCACTGCTGCTGTGATTTTCGAGAGCTAAAAGTGTGTCTCTATGCAGTGAAGCTGGATATAATTAACCCTGCGCTGAGCTGAACCGACCAGCAGCCAGCAGGGATAGTTTGTTGCCACTGCCAGTGGAACATGAAACAACTGAATCCTGTGGGTAACTTGCACATGGTGGTTAAAATTTCTCAACCCTAGACGTTGAGTTGTAATACAGTCAAGCAGCCTGCAATTCTTGCATACTTGTTGTTTTCCTAAGATTTGGAAAAGTTTTGGGAACTCCTGTACTAGCTGACACTAAACGAAGGATTTCTTCATAGAATATCTGTAGCAATGTGAAGTGCCTCTGTGTTTGGAGTTTGGTCAGTATTTAACCATATGTTTGTGTACTGCTTTTCCTGGGATGTTTCTGGGTGTAACATGGGTAGATCTGATTATCTGTGTGTTTGGGCATGGTGGCTCTGTGGCGGCGTGTGTGTAAACACCTGAAAACCTTAGTACACAAAGCTCATGATAGATACATTCAGTTCTATTTATTGTTTGGTTTGTGTATTAGGCTTGTTGACCGATCCAATTTGTTGAAAGATTAGGGAAGTGTCAGTTACAGATCTGACTGTACTGCTTACTATGCACAGGTTATTTAAGGTTGTGACGACCAGTGAGATATGTTATTATTTAATTACTGCATTTTACTGCAACTGTATCTCAGCAACTATTGTTATACACAAAGGTCTCTATCTTGATATAGCTCCTAATCACGACCCCCTATCCTCATATCTCCCAAATAATCACAATCACAATAATAACAATTTCCACTTTTCCTTATCTGCTCAACCGCAACATTTGGTATTTGAGTGTTTTTTCAGTGCACATATTAGATAACTGAATAAGTAAAAAGACGTGAGATATCCCTGGTTCTCGCAGTGGAAACACGTCGGCTGTGCGTGGTGAAGTGGAAAGAGCTCCCCATGGAAACCTGAATATGTGCCATGGAGCTGGATTAGTGTACCAGGGTACCACAGGGTCAGACCTTATCACAGCAGCCATTATCATGCGGACTGTTTGATATGGCCTCAATCAATCTGCTGAACAATGCTTTGGTTGCCGACGGAGCATTTTTATAATATTATGGCTCAACTGCCAATAGATAAACTTTTTGTTTTGTTTATGTAATAGTGTTTTGAGGCCAGGCTGATGTTGAAAATGGATGTTCTGGTTCTGATATTTCCACTGTACAACATGAAAGAAAAATGACTTCAGCACCAGATAGAAATGCACTCATTACATTCTTCAATGAGCAGTGAAGCCTGTGTCTGTCTGCTTTTCTTATTTGTTTATGTCTCATTATTAAGAATAAACAAAATGTTTTTATATCTATGTTGGACTGTGTGGCTCATGTAATGTACAAACTCCGTAAATTATTTATTAATATTGATATATTTGGGTGTTTTATACTGCAGTTTAATCTTGTGCATCTTCATCTTTGTGCAGTGGAAAGTAATAAAATTATACTGAGGTAATTGTACTTTACCTGAGTGTTTTAATGTTATGCTTTCATTTTACAAATGATACTTCTACTTCACTACATTTCAGATTTTTTACTACATTCTTCTGACAGCTTACTATAATGAGCACATAAAATACAGTTCATTGCTAAACAGTGAATGAAACTACCCAAAAGTATATACAAAAATACGTTAAAAAAATTAAGTTTACATTTATTGTCTCCCTTAGGAGACAATAACAGACAGATTAATCCATACGCTCCTGTTAAAAACTACAAAAATCTGAAGGCATATCTCTCATAGCACACACACCTTAGTAAACAAATTACAAGTAAACGATAACGCACACATAACCTGCAGTCATCTGAGTGTTGCACTCCTTTTCTGTCTCTCACTCATAATACATCTTCCACCATTGGCTTTAATAGCATCCTATTATGTTTTACATGGCTGCTATATAAGAATGTGGTTATGTACAGAAGATAGTTAAGTAATAGTTATGCAATAAAGGCTACTTAACGTTAGGCAATTGGTCATGACCCAGGTTTATGTAGCAACCACAATAATAATAAAGTGAGAAAGAGGTGGGACATGGTGACAGGAAGATAGATAGTGGAAGCTCAGTCACTGGAAGGGCATGACCAGACATATTCCAAGCATGTCTGACTTATACCTTAGCAAAGTACAGCTTTAAATGCTCCATATCACTTATCATGTTTGCCTGTGTTACTTAAAATGAAGTTATGTAAAGGGGAGAAAGGACACACAGAGAAAACAGGCCACAGGTTTTTAACTGTACAGTAGAAAGTTTGAGACGGTGGGGTGATCGTCTAGTGGTTAGTTTAGCCCCAGTTGCAGTGACTCCACAGCATGTAAGTCAGAGCAGCTTTTTGCCATGTGTGCAACATGCCTGACTCCTGCCTGCTTTCACTTACAGCACCACATAAATCTCAACCCTTGCAGAAAACCCTCTTGTGAATCTTTCAAACTGTGAAAAACAAGCCAGGTTTGTTTTTGTTCAAAGGCTTGTTTTGTTATCAGTATTCACAACTTGCTTTCACAAATTTGGAAGTGTTTGCAGCTGGCTGATCTTTAATTTATTGATCTAATAAATGTTATTTTTATATCATAACAGCTTTCATAGCTCTTGGAACATGCATCTGTCTCTCTCTGACCTGGGACACACTTTTGCCCTTCTAGGAGGAGGTTTTAAGAAATCTGGAGGGTGATCTGAGAATGGTGCTTCTAACATATTTTCTTCAGATGTCAAGCAGTATCAGTTACATGAGTCAAGCTGCTCTGGTATGATGGCATGACCTTAACAGACGTCATCTCTGAGGGGCCTGCTCCATATCTGCTGTACTTAACCCCAAAGGTAAATTTACAAAATTGCTCTCCGACACTCCTAATCGTCCCTTGGGTTGAGTTTTTCCTCTCAGCTACTGGATGGGGGGCGAGGAGC